AATCTCGTCGGATGTCTGAAGCTAAGCAGGTTTGAACCTGGTTAGTGCTGGGACGAGAATGAGAACCAAGCAGCCTGCGCGGCATGGGAAGGCACTCGCGCAGCCGTGGTTTGATAGCCTTGGTGCGACCTGTGGGGTAACCCTGTACACGCTCAAGGTAGAGGTGTAGCCCTGCAATAGCTCACTCACGCCACTGCTGGCAGAAGGGTCTCCACGAGAGGGAGCTCTGGCTAAGAGCCCCTTTCGAGGGTGCATGGCCTACTTTTCCATGCTTTAGCCCCATGCGTTATAGATTACACTCTATCCGGCCAGGCGTCTCAAGTAGACGTGAGCGGCTCGCAATTGGAAGCTTGAAAATTAAATTCCTGGCTGGGGGAGTTGATTCGATAAAATTAGTCCCCTTTTGTGGGAAAGATCAACATTGGTTATCCTGTGGGTAGACTCGTCCTCAGCATAGGAATGTGGAATTCCCACTACTAGCTTAGGGGCTGTAAACAGGAGATGAGTACCACTTAAACGTATGTATGTTGATCTTCTTTCACACCGTACGTAGCCAAGTGCGCAAATCACCGTGACTTTTTTCCTGGATGAATCCACTGCTGGATGAAGGAAACCCATGCACAACAGGGGGAGAGCATGCACACTGCACACAGAAAGGTGTTCACACAAAGTCGGGAATCAAACCCGGGCCCTTGTTGCTGTGAGGTACGAATGAGTATCACCACGGCGCTCCTGCCGCCCAGGTTATATTTAACCTCGCGCGTTAACCCTTCGCTCTGACCCCCGTGTGGCGGTTCGTTGTAGGCGCTCATAAAGGACCTTCAGCGGGAGAAGGTGGAGAATCAGCAGCAGCAAGAAGTGATTAAGGTAAGAAACGTGGCTTCCATTAACGCCGCCGCTTAGCGTGTACGGTCCGCGTACCGTAAATAAATCTCTGCTCAGCAGTCGTTTCCTAAAATAATAATAACAACATTATGCCGGCCGGTCCCTCTAGACTCTAGATCCACTTCCACTTTAAGCCCGCTTAGGCTGCGCATAATGGCCAGGTCCGCAGTAACTGGGGGTGGCGGTGGGAGAGAGATGGAGCACGCGGGAGTGTCCCTGGAACTGTACGCGTGATGTTTGGCGCGGCGTCCGACGTTTCGCCCCGCGTGCTCGGAGCATCTCTGCGTGCTTCGTCTTTCCACTGCGTCGGGTTTCGCGACCGTGCCGCAAGGCTCTCCGTCACGCTTTTGGGTCGTTACACTCGATGTCCCGACCATGCGCCGAACCGCTGAACGCTTCCACTCAGCTGTGATGCAGAGAAGCGGAGAAGCGACGTTGAAGCAGAAAAGCGAGGGGTGGGGGTGGTGGTCGTTGGAGCGGCGACGAACGGGGCACATCTGGAATCGCTTGGGGAAGGAATTTGTGGGAGATGAATGAGGCCCCGCTGTGCTGGGAGCCGTGGCGCTGGCTGGGCGCTATTTATTCTGGCGATTGCCCGGTTTGTTTGGGTAAATGGTTCCAGCGCTGCGTCGCCACCGCCGCCGCTCAAAACCATAGCTACGACGCCGTCTCCGTCGCCGCCGCTCCCCGCTGGATTGTGGGGTTGCGGCCAGGACTTAGTGTCTCACCGAATATTTATTCCGGGTCGCTAGATAGACTGGCGTAAGCGGTGTGTAACTATGAGTAGCCATCGCCCAAAGCGAGAGGTGTACTGGATGTGGTGTGCTGGATACGGAAGTATCTGGGTCATCGGTATGCTGCAGTAGGTGGCATGTGACTAATAGTAGCAGCAGGCGGTGTGTGGGTGCCTGTGGGTCCTGTAACTCCTCCTCAGTGGACACGGTCCTCCGATGTGGACCCCGCCCTTAGGCTACTACCTTAATCGTCGTGTAAGAGCGTTGTACTCATTGCAGAAATGTGCTGGAGCATTGGAATAGCTGTAAAAAACATCAGAGTTAAACCTTGCCAGAGGAATGTGGAATGTTGAACTTCTGGCTCAGAACCACCTGTGTAGATTAGCACAAGAGACACTTTGTCCGAGCAGAGTTATTATAATTATCAGTGACTCCTCACCAGTTACCAGGGAGATGGGAGGGAGGAATGGGGGTGGGGTGAGGGAGATGGAACAGAGGGGGGGGATGAATCGATGGAGGGAGGGAGTGAAAAGCCATATCAGGACGAGACGCCATCCCCTCCGGACGCTGCCACTCTATTTGGCTCCGCAACTCCCCCAGGGCGAGTCTGCAGTGGCCACCGTACGAATGTGAGAGTCCACTCCAGGGCCCCTCGGAGGAGCCTCGCACGCACTTAAGGCCCTCACGCATCCCCAGCCCCGACCCTACACATGTGCCTGCACGAGTACGTGCAAGCGTGTGACTGCTCATTGGTTATTACCGTGCTGTGGCCATTGTTTACGGTGCTTTGCGTTATTTCTAACTGGCGCGATTCTCTTGCTCGTGGGTGGTACACTCGTGCGTGATTATCAGCGCACGGAGCTTCAGGGCGTGTGATTCCTGTGTGCGATGGGAGCGCCGTGTCGGCATGTTCTCGTATCAGTTGTATTTTATTTCACAAGGTGAAAACTCATTGGCCAGGTGTGCATTTTAATTGGCATAAATATGATTGTCATTGTGGAGTGGTGATGCAATGGTTAGCGACCCGAGTTTTATTTCCGAACCACGGCTATCAGTTGTCGAGCCGTTTCTGAACTGGAATTAGGTTCCTTCACCGATTGGTACTGACCAGCATGGTGAGGTATGGTCAAAGACAACCCCCTGTGACCGATACAACGTGGGCGAGGCCTTCATCCAGCAGTGGATTCAGAAAGAGCTGGAAATTATAACAGGGGTCTGGTCGCGTAAACCCCGACAACCCGCACAGCGTGTCGAGACCCCCATCCAGCAATGGAGTGTCAATAGGGCTTCACCTGTACGTTGAGCTATTCCCCTACAGCCTATATGGCTACAGTGCATCATATTGGAATTAATGCTTTGGTTGAAAAATATTCAAACTGTCTTGATTGTTGATGATGTTCTTTGTTGTCGTGAATTGCCTTGACTGCTGGTTTACGATGTGCACTGTGTGGCTCTAAGGGCCCAGGTCTCGCTTTATAGACGAGACCTTTCGGCTCGGTGGACTTTCACTGGAAGTCCAAGTCCACGTTTATTTTCTTTAACCAACTCAAGAGACCAAGATAGGAGTCTCATTTGTGAGGGCGACCTGCGTCACGAAAATGACAAAAGCAAAACAAATAGAAATAAAGCAGAAGATACGTTTCCTGTAATTAACGTTTTCTCGGACAATTAACTTGTTGATACCAATCTACTTACAGTCAGAGTGATTTCTTGCTGTTTAAACGAGCATTGAGGCATTGGTGCTCATCTCCTGTTGACAGCCCTGCAGAGCCAGTGGTGGAAATTCCAGTTTTCCTGTGACGGAGGCGTCTATCCATATGACAACCACTGTTGACTTCACTGCAAAGTGGTACCTATTTTATCGACCCCATACAGTGAGGGAAAAAAGTATTTGATCCCCTGCTGATTTTGTACGTTTGCCCTCTGACAAAGAAATTATCAGTCTATAATTTTAATGGTAGGTTTATTTGAACAGTGAGAGACAGAATAACAACAACAAAATCCAGAAAAACGCATGTCAAAAATGTTATAAATTGATTTGCATTTTAATGAGGGAAATAAGTATTTGACCCCTCTGCAAAACATGACTTAGTACTTGGTGGCAAAACCCTTGTTGGCAATCACAGAGGTCAGACGTTTCTTGTAGTTGACCACCAGGTTTGCACACATCTCAGGAGGGATTTTGTTCCACTCCTCTTTTCAGATCTTCTCCAAGTCATTAAGGTTTCGAGGCTGACGTTTGGCAACTCGAACCTTCAGCTCCCTCCACAGATTTTCTATGGGATTAAGGTCTGGAGACTGGCTAGGCCACTCCAGGACCTTAATGTGCTTCTTCTTGAGCCACTCCTTTGTTGCCTTGGCCGTGTATTTTGGGTCATTGTCATGCTGGAATACCCATCCACGACCCATTTTCAATGCCCTAGCGGAGGGAAGGAGGTTCTCACCCAAGATTTGATGGTACATGGTCCCGTCCATCGTCCTTTTGATGTGGTGAAGTTGTCCTGTCCCCTTAGCAGAAAAACACCCCCAAAGCATAATGTTTCCACCTCCATGTTTGACGGTGGGGATGGTGTTCTTGGGGTCATAGGCAGCATTCCTCCTCCAAACACGGCGAGTTGAGTTGATGCCAAAGAGCTCCATTTTGGTCTAATCTGACCACAACACTTTCACCCAGTTGTCCTCTGAATCATTCAGATGTTCATTGGCAAACTTCAGGCGGGCATGTATGTGTTTTCTTGAGCAGGGGGACCTTGCGGGCGCTGCAGGATTTCAGTCCTTCACGGCGTAGTGTGTTACCAATTGTTTTCTTGGTGACTATGGTCCCAGCTGCCTTGAGATCATTGCCAAGATCTTCCCGTATAGTTCTGGGCTGATTCCTCACCGTTCTCATGATGATTGCAACTCCACGAGGTGAGATCTTGCATGGAGCCCCAGGCCGAGGGAGATTGACAGTTCTTTTGTGTTTCTTCCTTTTGCGAATAATCACACCAACTGTTGTCACCTTCTCACCAAGCTGATTGGCAATGGTCTTGTAGCCCATTCCAGCCTTGTGTAGGTCTACAATCTGTCCCTGACATCCTTGGAGAGCTCTTTGGTCTGGGCCATGGTGGAGAGTTTGGAATCTGATTGATTGATTGCTTCTGTGGGCAGGTGTCTCTTATACAGGTAACAAACTGAGATTAGGAGCACTCCCTTTAAGAGTGTGCTCCTAATCTCAGCTCGTTACTTGTATAAAAGACACCTGGGAGCCAGAAATATTTCTGATTGAGAGGGGGTCAAATACTTATTTCCCTCATTAAAATGCTAATCAATTTATTACATTTTTGACATGCGTTTTTTGTATTTTTATGTTGTTATTCTGTCTCTCACTGTTCAAATAAACCTACCATTAAAATTATAGACTGATCATTTCTTTGTCAGTGGGCAAACGTACAAAATCAGCAGGGGATCAAATACTCTTTCCCTCACTGTATATATGATGCGCCGATTAACCCCCAAACCAGGTTTTGATGTCACACCCCTCTGCTTGCGAGCCGATCACTGTACTGCTGAGCCTCCAAGTCGGCTAAGCCAAGGTGTCAAACGCTGGCTCGTGCCAGTAACGTAATCCCGCTCGCGGCTCGCGCTTTGCGGAGGCTGGAGGGTCCGGTGGCCGTGTTTGGCACTCTATCTCTGGGGCTTTTACTGAGGTCGTTGTGTTGCTAGGGCCGTTGCTATGGCGGCCGCGGTTCCTCCCGCTCTACCCGGCGTGGACTCCGCCTCAGGTTGTGCGCGGTGCCGGCACTTGCTTCCTCCGGCGGCGATGAACTTGATCGAGTGCGACGTTTCGGCTCGGTGATTCAACCGCTAATTCCAAGAACGCACACGCGCGCACCTTCCTGTTGCGGGACTTATCCACTAATCTGCTTATTCGCCGCGTGAGGCCATGCGTGGTGGTTTCCACATTTAGGTACCCGGTGAATTTTCGTTGTTAATGAAGCTGAGTTGGTTATTTTACCAGTGTGGCCGAGAATTAACCAAACCTCCAAATGCAGCACTGTTCTTCTGAAAAGTACAAGTTGTCGATTTAAAACGTTTTGTGCAGGAGTCGTGACGTGTTGGCTACGTGTTTGTCCATCGACCCCGAGGTCGCCCTTGCAAACCAGATCTCCGTCCATTTCATGGGATATTCCAGGGGACATGTTTTAACAAATGATAAATTAACAGACCCACTGAGGTCTTCCTGGATAAGTACTTTTTGTTGGTGGAGTTGATAGGCCCGTCATCGCTATTGGCATGAGATATGACACCCGTCCGTGTGGCCATCCAAGAATGCTTCACACATTTACACAAACTACAAAAGGCAAGTGCTTTGAATATCATCGGAGAGCTTGCCAGCACCAATACCCAGATGTGTGTGGGTTTTTGGGCAGGACAGGCAGTGGAATAGTGTCACATGAGCATTCCAGTGTGTAAAACACATGTGGCGTTACGCTGCAATCTGATACGAGTGGACTGGCTTGCCCAGCTTGTAGTGTTTCTCATTTCTGCTAGGCTTTGCATGTCTGGTGCGGAAGTGGTGAAGTATGGGTCTAGGTCACTTGTCTCGGTTGGCGTCTGTGGATGCGTGGCGGAGAGGGCACAGGGTGCCACGTGGCATCCCCACCAGCCCCCCCCCCCCTATGCTTATGATAAATGTATGGATTTGTCTGTCGCAATTGATTGTCTGAATAGTGTGTGTACATATTAAGTGTTAATTATTTACACTCCTTAAACGAATTGAATTAAAATGAGCATTAGAAAGAGGAACACATGGAATTGGAGAACATGAATCATATGGAGACATAACGTTGACTGTTGAGGAACATAAGCGGCCTTGCACGTCACCGCTAGAAGGGACGATGGCCATGGCAGGCGAGACTCGCGATGGAGCGGCAACCAAGGGCGGGAACGTGCCCGGGAGTACGCACACCGGGGAGACGGTGCTCTTGTGAAATCGTCTCGCATGCGGGTGCCGGATGGAAACTGTGATAGATGGCGATGGCTTGGGGGGGGGGGGGGGGGGGGGGAGTGAGGCGTTCGTCCAGCAGTGGATAGAGCATGGCTGGTGATGATGAAAAGGAATTGGAAAATCATCTCCTTGTAGGACCCTCCTGAAAAAGAGTCTTGGGACTTTTATTGAATAGTTAATTCACGAACGATTGGTTCATGGCAACCTGGCAGCCAGCATGGATTCTACACATCACAACAACAACAGCAGCAGCAATAACAACGCTCTGAATTCATACAATGGCAGAATGCAGTCCCAAGACGGTTTGACAAACATGGAGAACAAATGCCACGTGAGCCAAACAATATAATCAATTTGTAAATCAGATCGTAAGTCACACCGTGTAGGGGGGTGAGTTACTTCATCCCTTTTTGGGGGGTGCTGGTCAGCACACGCTGGCAAAGTCGTGGCGCCCATCCCCTGCTCCCCCCACTCCTCCATCCCTTTGAGTGTTCGTGGGGGGGGGGGCGTGGGGTGGGCGGGTGCTGGAGTTGCCGATGCTCGTGGTGAGGAAGTTTGGAGATCCGCGTCGATACGAAACAGGAAGTGGTGAAAGGCAGAGAGACGATGTGCCATGACCCCCAGATAGATACACCGAGTGTCTTAAATAATGAAAACATTGTACTTGTAATGCCATGTGTTCACCAGCACGGTGATGTATGGTCAAACATATGTCATGACGACAAAGCATGGGAAGACTTAATCCAGCACTGGATTAATAAAGGGATGAGAATAATAATTCCCTTTCTATTCCTAGGAAAGACTGAGTCTCAAGATTCCTTTTTAAAGACTATCTTGCTACTTTTGGATGTTTAGCCAATTCCATTTTGAGTTTTTGGCCTCGTATGGGAGCAAACCCAACGCAGCGTTGTTACTCTCAAACCTCCACACAGATAGTTTTAAGAATCCATTGCTCTACTGCCATCATGTGGCCACTTTGCTGCCCTAGCCTGCGATGTCGGCTATTCCTCGGCAGTCTCTCATGCACGTATTAGCCAGACCGAAGCGTGCTAAGCTTGTGAAATCTGACGAGATCGGACACCTATCCAGGGTGCTTTTTGGGTGGTTGGGGGAATTTTTGAATTTTGTTTGCCGGGCGTTGCCGCTACTGGCGCTGGTACGCGGAATTTTGGACAGCACTGGGGATTTTGGTTTTGACGGTGGCTCCTTCGGAACTGATGAGTGTACATCCGTGCCAGAAGAAAGTGGGGGGGTCGTGACCTGACGGATGGATTTTATACCAGCGCCTTCGTGTCACCGCACACTGCTGTTAGCGGGCTGGTCAGTCGGAGGGGCTAACGACATGGGGGGGGGGGAGCGAACGAGCACTCCGCACGTCCAGCTCCCCTGGCAGGTCCGCTAAAATGGCCCCGATGACTCCGCCTTTCTGGGAACACAATGGCCAGTACCAAGTCCCGCGAGAGAGGCGGGAACGGCGAGACCGAGCCCGCTCGCTGGCTCGTTGAACATCGGATTCAGTCGGCAAACAAAGCCGCTGCGCGTTTCTGGCGTGATGCATTTTCCTCCGATTGTTACCCCTTGCTCCGCATAAGCATTTGCCGAGTCTACTCGTTGCTTTTACAGCGGTGTCACTCACACTACGCTTCCCCTTTGCTGGGAAATGGTTGGGTCCGTGGAGGGAGGGAGGGAGGGGTGTGAGTGGAGGGGGCAGAGAACACGAGCTGCTGCTGCTGCCACATCACAGTGCTGGCCGTTTTTCTACAGTGGTGCAGAGCGGCTAACTGTACCGGCCCGCCAGGGCTGTGAGCCGGTGCACCTGTGACCACCTTGACGTGCCAGGCGGCAGCTACCCACGTGGTGCGTCAGGTGGTAGGGGACGTAGTGTGTGTGCGTGTCACGGTGTCACGTGGTACTGCACCTGGCGATATCACCACTGCCCGATAACCTGCAGTGACACCGCAATCCGCGCCGAGCGGCAGTGATCACCAAGATCCGGGTGCTGCTAAAAGAAGCGCCAGCTGGGGGGGAGAGGAAGAGGGAGGGAAGAGGAGGAGGTAATTACCGCCGCTGTCTCCACCACCACCACCTCGTCCTGTCCACTCGGAGTGAGCGTGGGTTCAAGCTGGAGTCAGTTCGCAAGCGCTTAGGGCAACGAGGACAGCGATCTGCGTTGTCACCGAGCCTGAATCACCACCGTTGCTAGGAGGATTCACCGGATCACTTCTCACCGGCCTGCCACCGCTCCCCTCACCGCCCCGAGACGACGCTTGATACGTGGCTGTTGGATTAGGAACACGAGCTGCACTTGCAGCGATGTCATGAGCCGGGTTGGCTCGGCGGACAAGCGGGAGCGTGTGGGGGGCTCAGCAGACAAGTGGGAGCTGCTGGAGGCCGCTGTGTGGAGTCAAACCCAAGGGAGGTTGCGTCGGCTGAACCCTAAATTGGCCGGCGCTGTCCGGCGCAGCTCGGTGTTAAAGGAACTCGACGGAGCTGACTCAAAGGCGCAAGCCCGGATCTCATTTTGGTGCCGTCACTACCGGGGCATGCGTTGTTGAGGGGCGCCGTGAAGACGGGAGTCGCCGGGTGACGAGGAGAGGGAGAATTGCTGCGCCACCTCATCACGAGTCGCCAATTTGCCGCGTTTCTCTGCGGGCACCTCATTTAGGAAGCCTCGTGAGCCGTTGCGTAACGAGGAGGCTCGCAGCATTCCCAATGCGCGCGCTTCGTGGGAGCCAGGTGTCTCCTTTGATGTGTTAATTTGTGTTAATTATAAACGTGGTAAGGGGTGGGGACTTGACACGAGCGAGAGAAGGGGGTGTGGCCAACTGGCGTTCTAAACAACGACCCCTCACGCTAAAGGATTAAATTTGCACCGAGCGACAACACCCCGGGTGGATCAACCACGACGCCCAACTCACTGCCCAGCGGTTAGCACGTGGACGGTGTTGCCAGCCGGGTAGATGAGAGGTGCGCGTGTCAGCGAACAAGCGACTGAGCCGCCGGTGCAGGTGAACGGCTGCACGGGTGCGTAGGTCGGATCTCGTACGTTCGCCGTCTTGCTTGGGACCAGTTTGGCTGGCGTGGTGCGTGCCATGGCGCCGATCGGATCGTGCCGTGTGTGCGGGCGCAAGCTGCAAGGCAAGCAGCGGCGATGGCTGTTCCGGGGTCCTCGCGTCCCACCAGGCCGCCCTCCCTCCTCGCCCGGCCCCCCCGGATCCCCCGCGGCCCCCCCGCGCCGCCCGGAGCTGCACGTGGCGCTGGCGCACGTGACACGTTGCCCGGTGCGGCCCGGCGATGGCGCCTCGCCCTTCGCCTGCTCCAAGTGCGCCTTCATGCTAGAGCGCGTGTACCGCTACGACGCGGTGGGGGCGCGCGTGCAAGCGCTGTCCCTGCAGCACCTGCGCCGTCTGCTGCGTGAAAAGGAGCAGCTGGTGCAGTGCCTGCTGCACCTTTACGGCCGCACGCAGGGCCCCATCGACGGCACCGTCGGTGACGGCGTGGCGCTGGCGGACGCCCGCTACGACGCGCTGCTCCGTGCCGACCTGGAGCTGTCGGCGTTCGAGTGCTGGGCGGAGCCGGGACCCGACACCTCCGACGGGCCGCCGTGCCGCGGCCGGCGCTGCGCCTGCTGCTCCGGACTGCGCGTGCCAGACTGGGGCTACGAGTCGGTGTGCGGCGTGCCACGCCGGCTGCAGCACGGAACCAACGTCGGTGCCGCCGCAACATTCAACGGTGCCGTTTCACCGAGCGGCGAGGAAGACGACACCGAGGATTGCTGCTCAGCATCCGTGCTAGTCTCGGCGAGCGTGTGCAGTGACGGCGCCGGCAGTGAGGTGGCCCCGTTTCTCATCGTGCCGGATCAGGAAGAATCGCCTTTCTGCCGAGACGATGGTAGTTTTCTGAATTCCACGGACCTATCGAAGGCCTCATCTGCTGGGGAGCTGGTGCCCGATGGGGCGATCCCCTCTCATGGATGCCCCTTACTGCAGGGGGAGCACCACTCCACCACCTTCAGCAGTCGCTGCTTGTGCCGCGACTTAGTCAACTCCACACAGGCTCCTTTGTCCCTGGCGGATAACCCGGACCCTGGGCCCTGTCCCCTGTCAGAGGTGCTACGTGCCATGAGGGACATCGGATTCAGGCCGGTGCGTGGCGCCCCCGGGAGCCGGCTGCCAGTGCTGGTTAGGCTGCCCACCGTCGTCTCCGCCACGAGGGGCAGTCCCCCTGCGCCGAATGCCCCCAAACACACGCCATCCCCGGCGCCCCCCTCCGTGCCCCCGCCGTGCTTTCGCCGGCTGGGCGCTGACGACGATGACGACGACGATGACGACCGGTGTAGCCTCTACGAGGAGCTGATTGATGACCTCTGTGAAGAGTATTTGCCCTTCCAGTGCAAGGTACGGGGTCACGGAGGTCGCGATGGCATGAAATAATTGGCTAGTTCGGTATTCGCCCGGTTCATATAACCGGTCCAGTGGCCCAGTGCGAGAGCAAGCGGCTCGTAGTGAGAAGGCTGCGAGTTCAAATCCTGTTTGGGGGTTGACAAAATGAGCACCACTGAGGAAATCAACAGTGGTGGTCTCGATTTTCCATCCCTGGCTCTCAGGGCTCTGAGCAGGGGGATGGGCACCACCTCAATGTTCGAAATCACTTGAAATTTTCTCATTTATAGCGCAAGACTTTCATCAGGAAAGCGGTTTCACATACGTCTATAATTTGCAGTCGTGGCGCAGTCGGGAGGGAATGATGCTGGCTTGGCTCAGTCCGGTAATTTGCGGTGTAATTTTCAAAGTTGGCAAATTTGGACTGGCACCGTGGCACGGCACACGAGTGATGTCGCGGAATCTTTAACGTCTACTCTGACGCAGAGAGCGCGTGTGTTTTTACGCTTGGTATACACACAGTACGCCTGTGGCGTTAACCCGGGGCAGCTCACATCACGACCCTCTGCTGCAAGCGGCCAACGCGCGACCGCTCCGCCACGTCACCACTCTTATCAGGGGAAGTCGAGCCAGGCACCTCCACTCCCAACGCCAGTGGTGGGGGGGGGGGGAGCAGGGGGCGGGGGGGCGCTGCTGTCACTTGGAGTGGCCAGGGGGAAAATTGATCCGGCTTGCGCCCTCTCGTGCCATAACCCGAGCGACGGTGGCGGCAGAGGAGGCAGTTGCAGAGGTAGCGCCACTCCCGCTCTGTCACCTCCACCGCCGGCTCAGGAAATGCCACACACCTGTGGTACCCCCCTAACCCCGTGGGGTCGCAGCACAGTCGACGGGTTGGGGGAGCTTAGCGGCCTGGGGAATGCGACCTCTGACCCCTGTTAAATGTTGGGCGGGTGAGTGAGTGGTGGTGGTGGCGGCGGCACGCTTGTAAAGCCCCGGCACGTGCGGTGCCGGCTGATGGATCACCGAAATGAGAGCTGTGCGCGCGGATAGAGGGAGAGCCGGGTCTAGCGGGGCTAGCGGAGGGAGCACGGGAAACTCCTAATGGGGACGTAAATGCGTCGGGGCCGTTCCCAGGAAGCTCGTTAAGAAAACCTATCCAAACGGCACTAATCTTGCCTCCCCGCTCGGTCTCCTTGCTCACTTTCTGTCGTCGTTTAATTTGAACGAACGATGTGGGTCAAGAGCGGCGTTTGCGCGCGTGCCTGGGCGTGCGTGCACGCGTGTGCTCATGAGCACACGCGTGCTTTTGTGTGTGTTTGCCTGTTGAGTGTGAGTGTTGTGGTCCCAGTGACCTAAGTGAGTTTGCTTTTCTGGCCGTAGATAACGTGAGTGCCTGCATATGCACGTGTTCGCACGCTTGGGTGCATACATCAATTCTATAACTGTTCGCTTAAAACTACACCACAAATTTGCTTGTGAGGACTGTTCATTAACTTTCCGGGGATTTGACCAAATAATTGGCGCCTTGTTTAAAATTTGCACACCGCATGATACACTTTTACTTGTTTGGCTCTATCGGGTGGTGAAGGGTCTTGAGACACATATTTGGCCGGGTCATCATTATTATCGCCATTCCGCAGAAGATGACCGAGGAGCAGGAGGAGGAGGCCGGGCGGCTTCAGCGCTCTGCCGGGGAGATGGCGGCCGCGTTGGCGAAGGCGCAGGCGGAGGCAAGGGACCTGCAGGAGCACGTACGCCAGCTGGAAAGTGCCGGCAAGGTGCGTTGCAGGGTCTGCCGGCGATCACACGGTCGCAAGGTCACCAGCAGAGTCGCCAGTGGCGTTGATGTCGGGAGACGGGAAGATTTGTGTTCCGCCAAGCAATAGTGTGATAAGTTAACTGGTGGACTGTGGTGCTGGGCTATGACGAGGGCTGCTTTAAATCGGTGGGTATGTGGTGGCCTTGGCGACAAGTTGTTTGCCACATTCTGGACTATCAACAACCCGGGCAATATTATCAGTGAGGATTAACATAGAGACCCATAGACTCAAATGGAGACATAGATTTGCATGGAACCCTGTAGAGCCTACGTGTTACACCCTGTACACTTCCAGAGAGACCCATAAACTTGCATGCAGACTGATCGACTAGTATAGAACCACATAGGCTTGAATAGAGACTCGTGTAGATGCTCATACACAGACACTCATAGATGTGCAAGGCCTCAACTAGAGCCGTATCCATTGGGGTTGGTGAACTGGAGAATACCGAGGTGAGAAACGAAGGCCTGGTCCCCCTATCTGAGGGAGTTGCTTCTGCTGCCATGGCAGGAACTGCAGGAGAAGCTGACGGAGACGGCGTCGGAGCTGCGAACGCAGGAGCAGAACGCGCTGAAGCGAGACCGCGCCATACAGGGCCTCTCGCTCGCCATGAAGGCCAAGGACAAAGAGGTGTGCGGTGATGCGCCCGGTGCTCACATGCGGCCCCCTTCGCTCAGACACCACAGCCCCACACACACGTGCACACACACGGACACGCGCACATACCTTCAAACACACCACGAAGAAACAGGCAGCGGCCACACCTGGCACGCACACCCCGTGTGGCCTAAATGCACGCCGCTCAACACGCGCACCGCACGACCGCAGCATCAGTGCTTTACCACAAACACGATGCCCACGCACCCATGTGTCTCGAGCATCGCTCGCACCAGCACGCACCCCGACGGGGCCGGATGCCGCCGCCCCTGCCCGTCCCATCCCCCTTCCGCCGGTGCTGGCGTCTGTGCCGTTGCCGATGCTGGTGTCGCTGCCGCTGTTTCAGATCTCGGAGCTGTGCGAGGAGTTGGAGAACCGCGACGCGGCGCTGGTGAAGGCGCGTGACGCCACGCACAAGGCCCAGCTGCAGAAGTTCCACGTGCGTCATACTCAGCGAGTGTACACAACTCTCGCATCAGCTGCAGCAGCAGTATCTTAATTTGCAACACTGTCTGCAACAACAGCAGGAGTAGTTATAAGAGCATAATCATCTTCATAATTATCATCAAGTCATCAGCACCGTCATTAGCAGCAGCAGGAACAGCCGTGTTATTGTTAGCGGAACACTTGGTTCAGTTTCTGGTGCAATTAGGATTATTATCGCGCCCGAGTGATGTAGCCGGTCTTCAAGAGGTCGTGTCCCAAATAGCCACACAGCTCTCTACTTTATTTGTGTTCATAGTGGATTCATAGTGTCCCCCAGTTTACGGGCAGTCGGACGTGCGGACACGTGGACAGACAGACAGACCGACAAACGGACGCAGCCGATGTTAATGGTTTTAACCGTAGTCGGAAAGCTTTACAAATTTAACCTGCATCATGCCATTAAACCGTTAAGCAGAGTCTTACCCTGGCCTTTGACCCCGTAACCTCGGCCCCGACCCCGCAGGGAGCGGAGGAACAGCACGCCCTGCTTACGCAGAAGGAGGAGGAGCTGTGCGAGCTGCGCGCGGCCACGCAGCGCTCGCTCACCGAGACACAGCGTGCCCAGCGGGCGCTGTGCCGTGCCGACGAGCGCCTTGCTGACGCCACGGCGCAGAGGGATTCCGCTGAGGAGGAGAAGGAGGGCGCCGTACTGGAGCGCCAGCGTGCGGAGCGGGGCGTGCAGGTGAGCCGCTGTGTGGCTGTGCCTGCGTGAATCAGTGAGTGACATACTCCGAGCAACTATTAAGGCCCGTGGGTGGGCCGACGCCACACGTTTACTCATTCTCACCGAGCGTCGTCGCTCCTCTTCCTCCTCTCCCTGCATCGCCATCTCTTCCCAGGAGCTGCGCTCGGAGCTGGAGCGCGCAAAGCGCGAGCGGCGTGAGCGGGAGCTGGAGCTGGTGCAGGAGCATGAGTCGCACCGGCGCGACTGTGAGCACCGTTTGGCGTCGCACGAGTTGCTGGTGCGTAGGCTCACCGACAGCCTGGCTGACCGCGACCGCCTGCTGCAGGTATGGCCGCTCGGCCTAGCGGGCCGCGGTTCTTAACGGCCTTGTCGGAGACGGTGAGGTGATGCCGCCGATTGATTGAGCCGAGGGTAATGAGTGGATGGTCCCAGCCCGGTCACCAGTGACCGCGCGTGAGAAATGTGGTTTGTCACTTGGCCACACGAGGAGGCGGTTACAAGGCGGTACCTTCCAGTTCCCTGCGTTGTGTAGCACGGGGCGACGGTGGACCGCTGCTTGCTCTGAGATGTCCCAAGGGAAACGTGTCGATGTCAAGGCGCACAACTGACATAGAACCAAAATGAGAGCAACATCAAGGGCCTTGCGTCTCCACCACAGCGGTGGCGCTATGGCAGATGCCTTAACGGGTTGTTTGGTTGTGTGGTCGTTTGATTGCGGTTGTGCGGTTGTGCAGGAGTACACGGAGCTCCTACGAGGCTCGGACCAGCTCCCCGACGGGAAGGGCGCCCTCATCGCCGCCCTGCAGCAGCGACTCAACGAGCAGCACAAGCTGCTGGAGGTGCGGAGCTCCCTGTTTGCTCGCGCATGTGCACACAGACAAAGATCCCCCGTGTAGGTCACGTTGATTGTTGGGGCAAGGGCTGGCTAGCGAGCACCTGTGAAGGCCGACGGTGCATGAGTGGGTGGTTTGGCCAGCACCACGTCCCGGCCGCCTTTGTCTTCCTAATTATAATGTTTTAGACGCCACATGCCAGGTATTTTGAGTCAACCGAAGGGATATTTGTCACTGAAACTCAGGTCGCCGGGTTAGTTGCACAGCATGCTAATCGCTGAGCCAACGCTCCCCACACATACACGTGTGTACACACACACTCGGAGTGTGAATCAATACGACCCATTTATAAACCATATGTTTATTTTACTAAATATATTTTCTGAGATATATGCCATTGCAAGGTTATATCATCCCACTCAAGGATAAAGAAAGAGCATGAATTAAAAACTGGAATCTCGATGCCAGGTGATGACATCTTATGGAGGAATAGCAACTCATCACCAAGCGCTTAGAACGGGGGGGTTGGGGGGGAGAGCGGCAGGGGAATGGGAGGGATAAGGGGGGCAACGAGTCGCTAAACGTGGCCGTCGAAAGGGGGCGGTGCTGTCCCGGCGGTAACCGTGATGTCTACCGGTGCCCGTGTGCCGCGTAGAGAGCGGACGAGGCGAGGAGCGCGGCCCTGCAACACAAGGAAGCGGAGATTGTGGAGCTGCGGCGGGAGCTGGCGGAGCGCTCGCTCGACCTGGAGCGCCTGCGTGCCCTCCTCGCCGGCAAGGACGAGACGATCCAGGCAAGCGACGCCACGCATACGCTCGCTCACCCATCCACCCACCTGCTCACGCACTCGACCACCCTCTCACCCGCTCACCCACTCGGCCACCCGCTCACCCTCTCGTCCGTGCCTGCGGACGCGCTCCCTCACGTTGTCTCCACCCGTCGTGACCTTGTCGCCGCCGTCGTCATCATCGTCACCATCTCACCACCATCGCCGACACCGGCTCCCTGACCGCGGTGGTGGCGCTGGCACGAGCAGGGTCTGGACGAGCTGATGCGGGAGCGCGACGCGGAGCTGCAGAGGCTGGCGTCGGCGCTGAAGGAGACGCGACGCGCACGCGACGAGGCGGGGGAGGCGCTGGACGGCTCACTGGCGGACGCGGAGCGGGCCCGCGCCTTGCTGGCGCAGCGCGAGACCGAGCTGGAGGTGCGACACCGCCCGCGTTGGCACGGTTGCATGCTCGCGCTCTTACAAATGCGCACGCACGACCCGTACACGCGTACTCGTGTACGTGCGCATACGTACGTACGCGTACGTACGTGCACAACGATACACGCAGATACCCACTGGGCATAGGCACACATCCACACAGATACACACGCCTACACTCACGCAAACCCATTCAGCGACTGTCATCTATTAGCCCTTGCTGACACATACATGTATCCGTGTGTGTGTGTCTGTGCACATACACCAGGTGGCGCGCCAGGCCCTGCTGGAGCGGGCCGAGGTGGGGGCGCAGGAGCTCGTGCGCCGGCTCACCGAGAGCCTCGCCGACAAGGAACGTCTGCTGGAGCAGGCGCGGTCCGAGGGGGGGCGCCCAAGCGGCGACGCGCCGCGCGAGGGCCGGCGGCTCGCCGAGCTGCTGGCGCAGCTGCGCGACAAGGAGGAGTGCCTGGAGGTCAGGATTCTCGCCTGCTCGCTCGCTCGCTTCGTTGCTGGCTCGCTCGCTAGGTCCCGCGCTCGCTCGCGAGGGGCGGGGAGAGGGGCACGCCAAATCAATGCAGGGGCCACCATCGTTATCGCCGCTCTCAGCCGAAAGAGAATTCCCCACGATTATCCCAATCGCACTTCCGCCGTCGCGTCCTGAGACGAAGAATCCATTCGGAAATCTTGGGATGCGAAGTCGAGGGCGGCACTCCTACCCATTGCCATACAAGAGTCGTCTCAGTCGCATGATCGTTCAACTCGTATTTGGCCAGATTAAGTGCCTTATGGCTTGAATGTGATGGGGGTTTTTTTTCGTATGCAGTCATCGGTGTTTGGATCATTAACTCAGAGCTCTTTAGAATCCGGTTATTGGGAACCTGGTTCTTGAGAACTCGGTTTAATCAAAAGCGGCAACTAAAACCCGGAGTCTAACCCAGGCACTCAGCAGCACCGGCTCGGCATCCCTGACCTCTGTGCCACCCTGCCATCTCCCTAAAGGTGTCACGGCTTCTTTTTGGTCTTACCCGTTGGCGCTGTGTGTAGGCCGAGCGCGCCGAGCGGGCGTGCCAGCAGCGGGAGATGGAGCAGCTCCGGCGCCGGCTGGCAGAGGTCGGGGGAGAGCGGTGGACGGAGAGGGAGGGAGACGCGGAGAGGGTGAAGGAGGAGGATCCGGGCCGGGAGACGTTGACGCACGTGGAGCTGGGACGACTCCATGCCGTGCTGCAGGAGAAGGACTCCATCATCCATGTGCGTCTTTCGTGGAGACGGAACGATGAGTGAATGTGTGTACGAGTGTGTGAGTGTGTGTGAGTGTGTGTATGTGCAGATGAGTGAATGCATTAATGGGTGTTGAGTGTATGATTGTAAGGATGGGTGAATAAATAAGTGATTGAAGATGTTATTGAATGACTCAATTACATTTGTGTCAACAAATGAGTATCGCGGGGTGTTTAATAGCATCTACATTCAACGAACCCCGTCTCAAGACTGCGCCTTCCCCCACCACCGTTCCTACCGCGGGGCCCTGCGTGTCGGGGTTCGGTGACGATGGCTGTGCGCGCGTGAACGCTCTGTTAAAGGCCACACGGGGGCCCTTTTGCCTCTGCGTGGGCGGTGCAGAGGCTGGTGGAGAACGGGCAGGAGAAGGACCGGCTGCTCACCCTGGTGCAGGCACCGCCCCGGACGCTGGAGCTAAAGCAGACGCTGCGCATCTTGAAGGACGAGCGGGGTACGGAGTGGTGGGCACCGAGGGAGGGAAGAGGAGAAGCTTGCTCGTTGCCTCGCAACGTTCGGGTCTGGCGCCACCGCTCCTGCGGAGGAAGGCGCCACTACGTTTGGCAGTCGCAATCTGCGGTCACATCGCAAGCAGAGGGCGACGTTGTGCTGAGATCCGTTGTTTAAGGGCGCCTTTAAAATCTAAACGATTATTATCATTGGCGTGTGTCATCCCGATTGAGTCATTTGCGGTCTAATCTTTCGGATTTGGCAAATCTGAACTGTGACGCCGCCACACAATGACCTGCTCGTTTGGAATGACATCACAGAGATCTGTAACATCCTCGGCCAATATTCGTACCGAGTGATATCTGAACCGTTCCTGGGCACCCTACTCTGTTCGCCAACCCCAATTGAGCAGCTCGGTGAAGTATGGTCAAGCCACCCCCGTTACTGCCACGGAATGTGAAGACCATCCAGCAGTGGATTGACAACGGACTATAATTCATATAGATATCTTGATGGTGATGGTGGTGGTGATTATTGTGAGATTAATGATAAAGGCGTTGGGTTATTTTTCCGATTGCTTCTCTCCGCAGACAAAGAGACCCGGCAGAATTTGTTGGGCGAGGAGGAGGAGGAGGAGGACGTCGAGGATGATGTGAGCTGTGACGAGGAGGATGAGGAGGACGAGGAGGAAGAGGAGGGAGGTGACGATGACAAGACTGTACCGCCCCGCGCCGTTCGGAGGCAGGCGGGCCCCGCGGGGGAGCGAGCGGCCCTCCGGCATCTGCTGGTGCCGTCCCCCGAGGCCTCGCGGTCCCAGGGAGCGCTTCGGCCAACGCAGGAGGTGGAGATCTTGAACAAGGAGGTGGATCGGCTGACACAGGAAGTGCACCGGCTGACACAGGAAGTGCTGGTTCTGCGAGTGCGGAGTCCAAGGAACCTGGTCGGAGCAAAACCGGATACCGGCAGCGACGCCCACGAAGTGAGTGAGAAAGCCCACTCCTAGGTCAGCTCAGCCTAATATGAGCACCCGGTGTGGTGTGTAAACATCAGCAGTTAGGAGTCAAAAGGTAGCCAGGCGTGTCCCTGGCCACACCACCTCCTCATGCACTTTGCCGGCCTTCGTAACATCACTTACCCGCGCAATCTGCACGGCTAAACGGGGTATGCATGTATGTTTAACTTCTTTTGCATCTTACGTAGGCATGTTAATCGAAGGTAAATCTTTGTCTTTGTCTCGTGTGCAGCTCCTCCTGATGGAGCAGGAACAGGAGGGTCGGAAGCTGCAGCAGCTGCTGCACGCAGAACAGCAGGTGTACCAGCACCTGGCTGCCCTGCCGCAGCATGCGGACAGGTGAGTGTATCACACGCGCGCGCGCCTGTGTGATGAGCTGTTGCCTTTTACACTCGTACAGCTGGAACAACAACCTCCATTGGCGCCGACTGAGACGACTGACATATGTGCACCACCTGTGCCATCTCGCTGCATTGTCACCGCCCGGCGCTCCGCTCGTCACTTCCAATTACGCAAAAGTGTCCTTCACGAGCCTCCTCCACTCACACACAGCCTCTTGAGCAGTGGGCAATACACAATAACAATGACCGCCATTAAGTGAGGCTAGGTGCACTATGAGGCCGTCACGTGAAGTGTGGAAGTCTCGCCAATGACAGGAGGTCACGGGACAAACCCAGGCGGTTTGGGTTGACTGAGATGTAATCACCTGCGTGGAGTCGTATAATTATCTTATAGATTTCCTGACAAGAACAGCGGCAGCATTGCACGGTGAGTACTCAAATTGTCCTCGCCGAGTTGTGCCGCGCTAACCTCTCCGTCCCGGCACCGCCACAGCCGCAGCCTGCAGGAGGAGCTGGCACGCGTGCGGACGCTGCGACTGCAGCTGCTGGACGGGCTGCGCGCCAATCGCGAGCTGCGTCACAACCTGGAGGAGCTGTCGCGCGAGCTGGAGACCTCGCCAGGTGGGGCGGGGGGCGACCGCCCTCGGGAGGCTTAGCGAGCGGCCGTGCGGTCGCGACGTTGTCGTGTCTTTCCTCGCCGATCGGCGCGATGGGTGGGCAGGTTGAAGGGTTAGCGGAGGTGGCTCCAGGCCAGCGCACCTGGGCCTCACTCGCTCAGCCGGACTACCGGGCTGCCCCCATAGTCTGGTTGCTCGGTTCGACCGTAGCCCAGCAAGTATGTGCGACGTTACGTGTTGTGGGTGTGACGTTAGGGGTCGTGGGTGCAACGCGAGGGTGAGACGGATAATCAGTTATAGTTTTTAATGCAGACCATTCCAGGTAAGTGGAGAAGTTGAGAGAAACGAGATAGGGAGGAGAGGTGGCGGCCATGAGAGGTGGGTGGTGGTGAGGGTTGTCGTGAAGTTTTAGTAATTTTTGATTGCACTGTTTATGTTGTTAGGAGGTTGATCTGTTTACAAACGCGCACAAGTGCGCAGGTACATACACATGTAGATGCCTACACGCACGGGTTCGCACCCGTTCATAGCCACACAGCCAAGCGCACGCACACACACGTGCGCGGCCTGCCACTGTGACGTTGCTGTTGTTACTAATGAAATCTGTCTGCCTGTCGAGTGTGTGTGTGTGCGTGCACGCTGTCTGCGTGCGTGTCTGTACCAATTAACCCCGGGTTTATTGTGTTCAACTGCTCGTCTCTCTCTGAAAATATTTTACTAGTGCGATATCATTGCAAAGCTGCCTCGCCCCGCTGCAGGCTGAACACGAGTGGGAGGCACAGGTACACGGGGTTTGTTCAGTAGTTGAATGTCCCGTTTCTCTTTGATAATTAAACTCCTTCCTGTGCCCATTTACGTTCAATCCATTTGATGAGTTTTTACTTCACAAAGTATTGCACACGCACACAACAAAGACAAAGATCCCCCGTATAGCCTGAACAGACTGTTGGGGCAAGTGCTATTAGGAAGCACCTATGAACGTCGGCACAGCACACGAGGGGTGGGTGGCCAACACCACGCCTGGCCGCCTTTATCTCCCCAGTGGTGATGTTTACACACCATACCAGGTACTCATTTAAAGGCTGAGTCGAGAGGCCCAGAACCCGTTCAGGTATTCGTCACTTGTGTTGGCTGCAGAGAGACCGACACAATGGCACACAAACAAACCATTGGGAGATTGGACAGAGCGCATTCCGTCAGGAGGACAGGGAAGGATAGAATGCTGAACGTCCATGTGAAGACCTGTACTTGTAGAGTTTACACGGGGCCGGGGAGGGTAATGTTAATTGTACGGATGAGTCTGTGTGTGCGAGTGCACAGTAGCCGAGTCGCCTGTCGAGGCTCGGCGCGCGTCACCGCTAATCCCTGAATGTAAACGCGCGCGGAGCCGAGCGGCGTCGTCATCGTCACCCATAATAAACAAACACGCTGCAAGTTCACACGGCACACTCGCCCTTGTGTTGCATCCCCCCCACCCCAAACCCCGCTCACCCACCGTGGCTCAACAAGGGGGGGGGGGTCAAGACGCCCCCCCACAAAACCCAGGCCACAGAGGTCCTGGCCCAGTCATTGTAGCTGTGCCGGCCAAAGCCACTTCACTGTGTAAACTGAATCACAAGTACGCCCCTCCCGGTTTCACCGCGCGGGGTGTCTCGTTGTCCCCGGATGCCGAGGCTTCGAGACGGATGACGTCATTGGTTAAGGGCCCCTTTCCGTGGAGTGGTGGTGCAGCAGTTAGCTCACTGCGGTGTGAACCCAGCCACCTGTGTTCGATTTCCGACCACTTCTAACAGTCGTGGAAAGTGATATCTGAACTTATACTGGGCTCCACCCACTCTTCTCTTTACCAACCCACATTGACCAGCTTGGTGAAGTATGATCACACAACCCCCATGACTGATACAGCGTGCCGAGGCCTCCATCCTGCAGTGGATCGATAAAGGGCTGTGAATGATGAAGGGCTCATTGAGACCAGAAGTCTCTGGTGCAGCCACACCGCTGCCCTTCCCACATTGCCTGGCATGCCATAACCGAACCTGACCAGACCATCAACCAAAGCAGTGAACCACCGTGAACTCTATGTGAGTCTGCAGGTCTCTGAGGAGTCACTGTGTGAGTCCCTCGTAGTCGTGAATCAATGTGAATTCTGAAAAATTCAACTGAGTCAATAGGATCAATCCACCGACTAAAGCCCTTTGCTGGCTAAACCTAACCGGACTTAGGCTCGTGAGTCACTATTCATCCAGCCGTACACGAGAGAGCCAGGCCCGAGTGACACTTCCAAGATCCTGACCTTGCTTTATGCTCCCCTTATTGTGGATCCGTCAGAGGGGAGCGAATGGGCCCCCCGCTACAGGACATGGGGACCCACATCGGGGCCTTGAGCTCGTTGCGGCCACACGCCCTTTGCAGCAGTGGCCCAATCGTACGGTTGGGGGTGGCGGTTGAACAAAGGAATGAGTGAGCGAGCGAGTCCACTTGGCTGGCTGAGAGTGGTGCCCATCACCGGCCAGCGAGCATTCAAATCGGCACGGGAGCTGAGATGACGCACGCCGACACGCGCTCCCCTGCGTAACAACCACAACAGAAAATCACAACAGAACAGCTCCCACCACCCACTTGGCTGCCTGGAAAGTCAGCCGGGCATTCCTCAGGGTGAATGTCCATACGGAGTCACCGCGGGATGAATGGACGTGAATCCTTGATGACCAGTGGCGCAGCTGTCTAGTGCAGGCGGTGCAATGGCACATGGACCCACGGCCGAAGAGGTCCGGCGCTGGGCTACGAAAAGAGGGGCAGGAAGCCTCATTGAATTCCTTGCACCAGAGGCTACGCCAACCACGCTATGCCACGGATACCACTATGCCACGCATATAGACTCACATAAAAGCCCATAGACTCGCATATAGACCCATAGACTCTGACTTTCATAGAGACCCGAAGAGTTAGAGGAGGGGGGAAATTTTGACGTTTAACTCCTCGCACTTGGGCTCCGTGCCAATCACGCTCCAACCACACACCTGAGGGCTGCTCCCACACCCACAACAGTTGTTTGACGTCACATGACAACGCCGCCCCAGTGTGCAGTGCGTGTCCAGAAACCACAAGTGCCGATTGAAAATCGATTCTTGACTTGACGAGCCCTGGCCGTGGATTAAATTCACAACGGCAAGCAGTGTTCCAGCCACCCCTACAGAGGGTTGAGAGGGTGTCTGAACCCTGATTACTCTGTTTCAATCGCTTACAGTACACCAATTTTTGAAGATAAGTAATTTCTAGACTATTTTGACACTTTTGGGAATAAAATAACTCTTGAGTTTCTGCTTTGCTCAGTTGAGCGCCGAGGCATTGGTGCTCATCAACTGTTGCTGAATTTGGCAAATCTGGACCTTGACTTGGGGGTACACAGTGGCCTACTCCTGTGAATGGCACCACGGGGTTCTATCACGTCCACTCTCAAGCAGACGGCGAGTCGAATGATTGTGCAGTATTTACCAGGGTGATCGTTGGACTCAAACCGCGAGCCTCTGCAATAATAAGCGGCGACCGCCAGGCTGTGTCACCGCCCTGGACCAGCGGCATAAATACCACAGGTACATCTGTAGAGCTGCCACTTTTGGCTAACTACCAAGTAAAATTAATAGGATTAAAATTCACAGCCCAATCCGCTGCCGGATTGTACCTGCACACGCAGACATGTAGACACCAATATGTGTGCAGATGTTTCATCGAAATAATTCACAGCCCTTCAACCACTGATGAATGGGAGCCTCTCCACGCTGCATACTGCCCCAGTTAATAACGAAAATAATCACGTGGATCAATACAATATAATCGGCAGTGATTCTGACGGCAGCGGTAGCTTTACGCTCCTAAGGCCTGTAATGGGGGATGTTCATGATTACACAAGGTCGTTATCGGCGGCCGCCGGGTGAGACTCACGACTGAGAGTACGGAAATAACACCTCGGCCTAGAGAGCACATCCATCGTGGAAATGGAGCAATGAAATTGGCTCAAGTGCAAGTTGCTTCACGGATTGTTGCGTTGCAAGTCCCTGAGGGTTCCAATGCGGACAGATCATGGACTTTGCACTGCTGCTAGGTGATGCTGCATAGCAACAAGTGTGCAAGTGGGTAGGTAGGTAAGTGGAGGTGGGTAGGTGTGGAGGTGGGTAAGTGTGAAGATGGGCAGGTGTGCAGATGGGTAGGTCAGCAGGTGGGTAGATGAGTAGGTGGGAAGGTGTGAAGATGGGTACGGACAGTTGTGTAAATTGATGTGTAGGCAGAACGTGGTGTGTATCATGGTGGGCGAGTGGCTGGGTGAGCGAGTGAGTGGGTGAGCGAGTGAGTGGGTGAGCGATCGTGTGGGTGAGTGATGCACCCTTGTCCAAGCTACGTTGTTACTTACCTGCTTGTGTGCGCACGTGTTGACGTGTGCTTTTGTCTTTGTGTGTATAAGTGCATTTGTGTGTGCGTGCATGTCGCCACGTTTGTGTGCCCGTGTGCATGTCCATCCGTGTCTTCATTTGTGTATGTTCATGTCTGTGTGTGCATGTGTATAATTGACTGTGTGTGTGTGTCTGTCCGTGCCCACAGGTGTCTCTGCGAGGCGTGAGCTGGCGCTGGAAGTGGAGCGCTTGCGGCAGCAGCTGGAGGAGTCGCAGCGGTGGAACGCATCCCTCCAGGGACGGCTCGGGCTCCACATCGCTAACAACGACACGGCCCGTAAGCGCGCTTCCACCATCGCTCGCTCACTGGTCGCACGCACTCACTCCACGTGTACACCAGAAATCAACCGTTCAGCCTCCAGACTACTATTCGTCCACCAGATAATCACCAGAAATCCGCCAGACATCTACTCTTCATCCATTCATCCACCAGACATCAATCATTGATCCACCACATATCCACCATACATATACAATTCGTCTAGCAGTTAACTCTTTCGCTGTCTGATAGGAGCCAGTCTTTTATTTCTGCCACGTTTATGGAACAGATTTTGTATTTTTTTAAAATCTGTCCATTGAAAGGGACACAAGTACCATGCCCCTGGGATGTCAGTACCCAATCCGATATGTACATGGCCATGGCGAGAGCCACATCCATGGCGGTAGGAAGTATACTGGATATGGTGTGCCGACCCAGGCAGGCCAGCTGAAATTAAGCCCCGGAGTCCCCCGTACGTGTTCTCGCAGGCACAGACAGTCTCGTGAGCGGCTGGAATCAGACGTCGTACATGAGCTTCCAGCTGATGGAGCCGGAGGGGCTGGAGGAGGAGCTGCTCGCACTGCCGCTCGCCGATCTCCGTAACAAGGTCAGGAGCTCGGGGGAGGGGAACGTGTCGGAGACGCACGGTGGGGGGGGGGGGGCACAGGGGCACAGGGGCACGAGGTAACATGACGGTGGTAGCGTGCTCAGAATATCAAATATAAAAAATAAAACAGAAGCACGGCTGACAGGTCGATGCATGGGGACAGGTGGGGACATATGAAGTCGCATGGAACAGCAGTGGATAGACCATGGCCGATAATGACGAGGTTGATGTCTGTCACCCTTACAGGCCCTGCAGCTCACAGCGCAGCTCAAAGATATGCACTTGGCCAATCAGGAGCTGGAGCGAAAGGTCGGGGAGCGCGAGTTGGCCAATCAACTCGCGAGCTGCCGTCTGGACGAGGCGGAGAATGAGAAGAAAAAAATGGAGGACGAGGTGAGGGCGACGAGGAGGAGGATGGAGGAGGTGGAAGCGACGACGAGAATGAAGGAGGCGGAGGCGACGAGGAGGATGGAGGAGGCAGAGGAGGCACTGAGGGAGACGACGCAGTCCCATCGGCGGCTGGTGCTGGGCTCCGATGGCAGCGACGGTGACGCGGTGGCGCTGCTGGAGAAGCAAGTGGAGGTGAGAGGTCGTCAGATGGCCGCGCGCATGACCAACGCCTCGAAATGATAACAACGCTCGCAAGGATAGAGACGTATGGGTGGGGGAGGTTCAGGGCGGGGGATCCTGGGAGAGAGGGGAGCGCGAGAGAGAAACCTGTGGCACAGCTTGGCACGGAGCAGCCGGTGCCCAGCACTGATTACGACAGTGAGCCCCAAGGAACCACGGGGCAGCAGAGGAGCACCGACAGCGAGGCTTGTGGTTGAGGATTTTTGAGTTGACGCACAGTGACTTCGAGTGGGCGTGAGCGGTGCCGGATGTGACGGTGGCAGTAGTCGTGGCGGTGGTGTTGATGGCCGTGGTTGTGACAATGGTGGTGGTTGCGTTGCGGCTTTGGCAACCTCGAGTCAACTCAACACTCTGACTTTGTTTGTGCAGGGGCTCCTGGCCGACCTCGCCGGCACCCGAGCGCATCTGCGAGACGCGGAGGAGCGCTGGCGCCAGGCGGCGACGCGGCTCGAGGAGGTGGGCGCCCAAAACGACGAGCTGGAGCGGGAGCTGGAGGGCGTCACGGCGTGTTTGGAGGAGGAGGGTTTCCTGTCCTTCGACGATTTGCGGTGAGCGCCCTGCGCTAGTTACTACTTTCCAACTTCCGCCCGCCGCTGGCATGCAGCGGCTTCCTCGCCGTAAGATCGGCGGTGGTGACGGCACGCAACGCTTTTGCTCACGCAGGGAGGAGCTGCGGCGGCTCCATCGCAGTCAGAAGGCACGTGAAGGGAAGGAAGGAGCGGCGCGGATCTCGGGAGCCACCACGGAGGACGTGGACGCCAGCGGGAAGCCACCGGCACCCAAGCCGGCCGAGCTGGTGCAGCGCCTGAGCGATGCCGAGCGCGTCAACGAGCTGCTCCGGCGCCAGCTGGAGATGAACACGAGCGTCGACGGCGACAGCAGCTTCAACCCCGACCTCATTGTGGGCATGGCGTGCGAGATCGAGCGCCTCAACGCGGAGCTCGGTGCTATCCGGCAGCACCAGCTGTCGGCCGAAACGGACCGGCACACGTCCTCCTCCGTCGACCGGAGCGAAGGCGGCGCCGCCTCCGGCGAGGAGCCGGTGTCACCAGCGTCACCGTTGTCACCGCTGTCAGAGCCGCCACCCTCACCGTCGCGCGTCGTGGGGTCAAAGGCCGGACGGGTGAGTCGCGGTGGCGCTGGAGAAGTCGTACATCGTGGCGTGCCCCGTCACCGCGGCCGGGCACCGATTGTCTCCCCCCAGCCTTAGCTGGTATCGCTGTGCAGCATTTGGCTGCGACTTGCCGCCGGGATTGCTGGCGCTGGAACGCTGGCGCCCGGCTGTAACTCTGCGTGTTGTTTTTTCTTTCCAGAAATCGCGGCTGCCGGTCCCCAAGAGGCTGAATGTCTCGGCGGCAGTAGCGGCCGCCCCTCCTCCAGCCCGCCGCTCCGCTCAGTCCGATGCCCTCTCGTCTCCAACGAGCGGTCACGCGATGCCGTCCGAAGGTCACGTGATAATATCCGGAGATCACGTTATTCCAACCGGAGGTCACATGACATCGGTTGAAGGCCATGTGATGCCGGTCGGAGGTCATACGCCACCGGCAGGAAGTCACGCGACACCGGCAGGAAGTCACGTGACACCGGATGGAACTCACGCGACGGCGATCGGAGGTCACGCGGCACCGGCCGGAGGTCACGCGGCACCGGCCGGAGGTCACATGGCTTCGGCCGGCGCACGCGCTACGACCCCGGGCGGCGCCGACGCGGCTCAGCGCGAGGGTGGCGCGGGGCGGTGCGAGGCGGACTCCTCACAGGTGGAGTTGGAGCTGGAGCACATGCGAGCGGCGCTGGAGGACTACAAAAAGCAGAACCGCGTGCTCGAGGAGCGGCTCCTGCTGGCGAACAAGGCAGCGGCACCACCAGGGCTACTCGCACCGCCACCGAGCGGTGGGTCTCGCCGGGGGCGCTTGCGGACAACTGCCGGGTGCTGGCTCACAGGGAGAGCGGGGCGCTCTTAACCTCGATTATTCCAGATCGAACTGAACTTAGATTTTTACTGGAATGGTATCGGCCACAGATGCTGCCGTGGTTATAACGGCCAACACACTGGACTTGCAAACCGGAAATCGGCGTTTCCATCTCCTAGCCTAGCAGAATAATCACAAGCTGGGCCTCCTCTCGGTTAACTCGAAAGTTAAGTTGTTAGCGTCGGTACCGTTTGCCAGATGTGGCGCTGCCGACCACATCGGCGCCCTGTCGCGCGTGCACCGGCGTTCACCAACATCGCCGCTGCGTTTGTGTTGCAGGAGAGGCGAGCCTGGCCTGCAAGGGAGTGCAGGTGGAGGTGCAGGACCTGGGCTATGAGACGTGCGGGCGCAGCGAGGCGGAGGACTACCCCGGTGAGACGCCGCCCGGCGCTCTCGCCCCGGGGCCGGGCTGTGTGGCTAAATGGGAGCAGCGGGGGTGGTGGCAGGGGTCAGAGGGCAAGGGAAGGGGCACAAGCAGAGGCGGGAGGGAGCGGGAGTGTTTTCCAACGATGTTATTTTAGCGAAAACATGTTGCCAGAGCGATAAGTTACTCTGAAGAGGAGGAGCAGTTCTAGGAGTGTGTTTAGGATGCTGTCGATCCTGTGGTCACTGCAATTTGTTAATTCTCATTACACTATTGAGTTTATCTGGCGACATCTAGTGGGCCACTTTTCGTTTAAAGATAGCACCACCGGCGGGGGTGGTGGGCTAGGTGGGGGGGGACTGAGGGTTTGGTGGTTGCGGCCGTTATGAAGGTCCGAGAAAGGACGGGAACACCACTACCGGCAGAGAAGGGAACAACAAAAACACGGGAGTGGATCGCCGAGGTGAGGGGCGACCAGGCCGACGAAATGGAAGCCGAGATGAAAGCAACCATCGGCTTTTGCCGGCGTCCCAAAGGTGGCGCACGCGGAAACACGGGGCCCCGTCCGCGGGGGGCCACCGAGAGGCGCTACCATCAATCACGGGGCGACGGGGTGGGGGGCGGGAGAGCGGGCAAGGGAGAGAGCCGCACCCTGCCGGGCGTGGGGGGGAGGGGCGCGTGTTTTTGCGGAGCCGCCACCGGGCTTATTAATCGCGGAGAAAGCAAAGCACGACGCGGCTGATGCTAAGCAGGCGCCCGTTAAGACGTCGGCGCGTAGCCGTTAAGCCCGCCGCTAGCCCCGTGTAATTGGAGCCGCGGAGAGCGTGCGCCTGCCACGCAAGGGGTAATAGTGCCCAATTAGGGGGGCGGGGGGGGGGGCGACGGGGGGGGGTGGGGCCCGGGAGGGTGGAGGGGGGGCGACGGGGGGCGGCCGCTGCCGGAGCCCTGCCCGGTCCGGTTCCTGCTTTGTTGTCGGGGCCTGCGCAGCGTCGCGCGGAGGAGCGGGGATAAGTGCTGTAATCACGCCGCGCCAGCCCCCAGCCTGGCTGGCGCCAGCGCTCAGCGGCTCGGCCGTTTCAAGTGCACGGAGCTCCGCCGCCGCTACGGAGAGCGAGCGCCGTATTAGTTTCATTTCTTTAGGAAACCGCTCGGGGCCCTCAGCTTCTCGAGCACAGGGAGTCTCCGCGGTCCTGGCCCCATTCATCGATTGCTGCGCGAAAACACCGTCACATTAAATTTGGTTCTGCGCTTAATTTGGATACATTCCAGCCCTGAGAAATTTGAAATATTGTGTCCGATTGTCACGTGATGAACATTACCCTCGGTGGCGGAGCGGGTGGGAAAGTGCTGCCCTCTGCTGTGTTGACCAGAGGTCGCATGCAGGGATGTCACGGGTAGCTCTGTGATATCCACTTCTGCGGGCCCTCCTCTAACACGAAGGACTGGCACTGCGTCATGAGCGATCTGAATGGGATGGATGCGTCATGTCATGGACACGATCCCGGTACTACGATCGCCACCTCGGCTGGTGTCGCTCGCCCGCCCCGACGAACACGGAGAACTCCGTGACGTTATTTTCGGCCACACCGGTCGCTCTGAGAGGCATGGGGAAGGAGGTGACTGCGAGATGAAGTCGTCTGAGTGGCCTCGCCCGTGGCGAGGCTGCCGGATGGAGCCGGCCGCTGCCGCTCGGCGCCCTTAAGCGTTTCCAGATGCGGCCGGGGGGCAGCAGGGCCAGCCGGGGCGGTGCCGTGCGCTCTCCCTACCTGTGGCTACCCGGCCCCACCCCCCTCCTGCGCCCCCCTCAGGCCCCCAGAAACCTCTAATCAGTGGCACTTCCCGTTATCTGATCCGGAGAGGAGGAAATGACGAGGGCGCCGCTGCTGCCTTTGTGCCGAGACGACGGTGAAGACCGTCATGTGTCATGGGCCGGTGGTCGTGGTAACGCACGTGAAACGTGTACCCGTGCACACGCGTGTGTACATGCATAGATACGTATGGGTACATATATGTAGACGCGTCAGCACGGTAACACGTGCGTGTGTGATTGTGATGCGTACGTTGTATTTACGTGTGTGTACATAATACATGTGTACGTTATGTGATGTGTGCGCCATCCCATGTATGATATAATTACCACGTAATTTGAGGCGAGCGCATCTCTAGACGCCGTACAGAGACAGTGGACGGTGTGTATTATATATAGGGAGAGAGAGAGGGACAGAGAGGGGTAGTCTGCCGCAGGCATAGGAGAAGAGGAAGGCTTTGAGCCTGGACCTAACCATGACTTCTGCAGTCACTCCGTGTCGTTGATCACCCTTGGTGGTTATAACCTGGGCTGGTTCATCTCCTCTCCACATACGTTGGGGCCTTGATTTCCGAGCCGTTCCTCTCGTTGCCGCAGGCCCCGGTGGGATCGCCCGGCACGGCAGCCGGGACACCATCTCCCCTGCCGCCGGCGCCACTGCTGCCGCAGCCGCCGCCAGCGATGCTGCGGCCGGTGCCGGTGATGCCCCGGGGCTGCGCCGGCAGGTAGAGGACCTCAACGCGCAGCTGGGGAACTACCGGCAGATCGTGCGCGAGCTGCAGGCCCGCCAGCGCGGCCGTGACGGCGACGGAGTCGCGGCATCGGCGGACGTCGTCAGCACGGAAGGCGTGAGCGGGCACCGCCACGGGCAGCCTAAGGCGGTGTTGCGCAGCGACTCCTGCAACGGCTCCGACTCGGCACAGGGCTCGGAGCACGACGGCGACGGCACGCCGTCCTCCGGCACGCCGAGGTCCCCCGCGGTCGTGGGCGTTGGCCCCGGGCCGAGCCGGGGGGATCTGTCGCGTCCGGCCCAGAACGGGGGGGACCCCCTGGCGGGCCCCCGTTGCGCCGCGGACACCGACGGTGGGCAACGCGACGGCGGGGAGAGCGACGGGTCGCCAGCGTCGACCGCGGGGGCGGGCACGGCGGCGTGGATGCGGCAGCTTTCGCGAGAGGCGGAGCGCGAGGTGACGCGGCTCATGGGCCAGGTCGGCCGTCTGGAGGAGCAGCTGCACGACACTAAGCGGCTCAACCGGCAGCTCAAGGAGCAGCTGCGCGGCCTTCACGGCAAGAGGGACGGCAGCGGCAGCGCTGGCGAGGGCCCGCGGTAAGATTCGCTGTGTGTTGGGGGACTGTCGGGCACGTTCACGTGACGCCATTTGAGTTGTTCCAATTATTAATCTAAACCCGGGTGGCTTAGACACGAGCGGCGTCTGGTGAAGCCGAGCAAAGACCCATTCACCGCGCGAATTCCGCCACTACAAGCACTGGCATGAGCGCAGCGCTACAACTACACCACCAGCACTCCTACATTCACACCACCACCACTGTAACCGCGTTACCACCATCATCACTACAACCACAAGACCAGATACTGGTCACTGGTATTGGCTGTGAGCGGGAATCGAACTGCTGGATTCGTAGCCAAGTGCAATGCACTAACCATTGTGCCACCCCCCCCCCCCGGCACCAGGCTGGACTCGCTGGTGCAGGCGCAAGCGCGGGACCTATCGGAGCTGCGCCAGCGGCTGCGCTTGAGCGCGCGGCTGTGCGGGGAGCTGCGCGAGCGCCTCTGCACGCTCACCAAGGCGCTGGAGGAGCTGCTGAGCTCGGGTGACGTGGACTACTACGCAGGCGAGGGCGTCCGTAAGCAGCTGGGGCGCACCGCCCACCTCATGGACAAGCTGCTGTCCCGCATCAACTTGGGTGAGCGGCGCCGGTGGCGGCGCCAGCGACGTATTTTTCTATTTTTAGTTCCCTTGGGCGGTGTTCGGCACCGTTTCGTGAGCTGGGACTGGAGAACCGGCTTTACCCAGTCTGTCTCCCATTTCACCCGAAACCACCAGCTGGCTGGTGAGGGTTTAGGGGTGAGGCTAGTACTGTTGGCTAGTTGGCTCAGGTCACTGTAAGCGAGAGGTCTACTACTAGTGACCAGTCGGCTCGTTCGGCAGGGCGTAGTGGCTTGTTGTTTCCCACTGACTCCCTGCTGCCCCCTCCACTCGTCTCCCCCCCCCACTCCCCACCCAACTGCCGTTCCTCTTTCTCCCCAGCAGAGGGGGTCCCTGATGGAGGACGTGCAGAGAGCGGTGACAAAGACGATGCCGTCAAGTGAGTGTCCGATTCGTCCTTCCTTGTCTTGGCCGCGACCCCTAAGCCTGACCCCTAGCCCTGACCACCGGCTCCAAATGCTGTACACTCATGCGAGCTTCAGCTGCCACCATAGCTTTGTTGATGACTCTTATTTCTGAGCGTAACCATGACCCATATAATTCAAGGCTTGTGTGTGCATTTGTGAAAGCTCATATGCTCCTGTGTGTTTGTGTTCCTAGGTGTCGGCCCGTGTGTGTGTTGCTGTGTGCGTGTCCCTGTGTGTGTTGGTGTGTGTTCCTCTGTGTGTTCCCCTGTATGCGTGCGTTACCGTGCGTTCCTCTGCGTTCCCCCGTGTGCGTGCGCATGTTGGTTTAACTTGGACCCCGCTGGGGCCGCCCCGTGTTTGTCTTGCTGATTGGCCGCTACTGGAGGATGTAATTAAACCCTCCATCCCACCACCCCCCGCCCCAACGTCGGCACGGCTACCGTAGTTTATTTTTCGCGACGATTATGACTTAGGGATTGATTCTTTTTTTGCCAGTTCATTTTCCCCGGTGCCGATCGGCACTCGCCAGAATAAATTGAAGCTGAGCTCCCGGAGCACCGCTTACTGGCGGCGGCGCCAGCGCCGTGGCGCAGCACGGCTGGCATTGGGGCACCCCTGTCCAATTTCCTGCCCTCTCTGTAGCCCAGTGTCTGGCCCTCCTGGTACCTGGGTTCCCAAGCGTGAGCAAGCGGCCTCGCCCGTGGTGTCGAAGCACCGGGCCCACGGGAGTTGGCCAATTCACCGGTGGTAACGGTTCTTTCGGTCGCGATACTTGCGCCGCAGTTATGTGCACATGGTGGTGGTGCTGGTGGTGGTTCTGATTCATGATGGTAGTGGCAGTGGTGGTAGATCTGGTAGTAATAATGGTCGTGGGTGGTTGTCGTGACAACGGTCGCAGTGATGGAATTGTGCCGCAACGGTTGTGTGGTTGCGTGTTTTTTGCGTGGTTGTGCGGCGAGCAGTGGTGCGGGATCCCTGCAGCACGAGGTAGCCATGCTGAGGAAGCAGCTGGAGACCGAGCGGCGTCAGCTGACGAAGAAGCTGCAGGATGCGACGCGGCGCAGCGAGGCGCAAGCAACGCACACGCACACGCGCATAGAGAGGTGGCGCACGCACGCACATGTGGCAATGTTTATTACAGTCGTTCTTTACGGTCGAATGAGCGACTTCCCGCCGAACAAAGGCACCAAGTCCCATGTACCGTGCTTCTCTTCATAACGGGACCCGTGCACCGCACCTGGCGCAGGCTGGAGGAGGAGCTCCTGGAGCGGGACCGACTGATCGAGGACCTTCAGCAGCAGCTGTCGTCTCCGCCTCCATCGCCCTCGGCCTGCGACGACCGCTTCCTGCGCCCGCGTTCCGCCTCCGGGTCGGGTCGCTCGAGCCACTCGCGCTCCCGAGCCGGCTCCACGTCGGGGTCCGTGTCCGGGTCAGACGGATCCGTTTCTGGTTCCGCCCCACGCTCGTGGAACCGCTCCTGCTCGCTGAGCTCCGAGCGCGATTCACTGGACCGCAAGTCGCTCGCCGAGGAGGAGGATGGCGACAGTTTCCAGGATCACTACAACTCGGCAAGAGGGCCAGGGGAGCGTTATTGTGACGACCAAAGGAGGGCAGCGCCGGGGGCGGTACCCGCGGCGGCGGTGGCGGCGGCAGTGCCTAGGGGTTACCATAGCGACGCGGAGGTCCTGAACCGGGGGCCTTGCGGTTACCACGGAAATGGGCTGCCGCACAGCCTGTCCGGGTTCGGAAGCGCCGATGTGTCGTTCGAGCAGCGGGGTTACCATAGCGACACGGGCCACGCAGGATTGGCTGCTGGACATCACGCCTCCCATCATGCGCTAGGTGAGCGTTTGATCACGATCTGTGCGATCTGTGTTTTGCGTCGAGAGGGAATGACATTTCATTGTGGAGTTGCTATATGTTTCCCACCAGTTTCAATACACCTCGAGTATTTTAACTTTCGCCACTGTCAGCTGTGGAGCCATCACTTTCTCAATATGCAATCGCCTTGAGTAAGTTAAAGGGTTACGAGAAGTCAGCAGAGCATCAATAAATGGATCTCTCTGGATTTCGATGTTCTCTCCTTTGATTGCCACTCCGTCGTGAGTCTTGACCGCCGGGCCATCGTCCCTTCTAGCCGTGACGCGTCGTGCCCAAGAGAGGGAAGCAGGGAGAAGCGGAGAGGAGCAGGTAGGGTTAACGTGGCCATCATTTCTTGAGCGCCGCTGTAATTGATCCCCACGCGCGCGGGGAAGCAGCCGAGCGAGGCAAGAGGGGAGCGGCGAGGAGGGAAGCGAGGGGGAGTGCATGGGATGCAGCCTCCACAGCCTCATGACTCATTCATGCACTTTGTGTGACGGACGGATGGACGGCTGCGCCGCTCGGCCTATGCGGTTACCGGCGTGCGGCTTGCATTACACTCGCTGCTCCGCCTGCTTCCTTGCCAGCCGGGCCGTGCCGCCAGGCACCTGCTGCTGCGGCATCTCCACCGGTGTTCCACCGGTCGTCGCCATACTAACATTTGTTCTTGCCGTGTGCCGTTACCTCGCAGCTGCGCAGGCCTACGCCGTTGCCGCCACTGCTGCGGGGGCGCCGTTCGGAGCGGTGGAAGGCGCCAAGAATCTGGCGCTCGTCGTGCACGGCGCTGAGAATCGAGCGTTCGACGCGCACGGCTGCAATTACGCGAACGCCCCCACCGCAGGTAACGGGAGCCTCCTCCCTCGCTAATGGGGGCCATGACCCCTAGAGTTGGCCGGTGCGTTGTAGACGCACGCCTGGGCTGAGGATCCCGTGCGCTCATCCCAGGCCGTCCGGCAAGCTCGGAGCTGCGCTCGGAAGAACGGTCGGGTTTTGTGCCGCAGTCGTGCCCATGAGGACGGACTGATCGGCTCCATTGCTGCGTGGCAAGACTGTGAGAGATGTCAACGGCTTGGAGAGGCCTTCATCCAGCAGTGGATAGATCATGGATCGTGCAGATGATGATGGCGTCTGAGGGCGCGGTACAGAAACAGCGGACATGTTTAGTTTATCGAGAGACAGTGAGAGACAGAGAGGCCGTCAGTCATAGGCAGAGAAGAGGATAGTCCTCTGAGCCTGGATGTGAACAGGGGCAGGGAGCGGACAGCAAGGGTGGCGGGGGCAGGCAGCCCCAGATAATGGGAGCAAGTAGAGGGGAAATGAGGCTACAGACTCGCGACACGCAGCCTCGGCGTGTGTTGACAAGATAGAGCTGCTTGGTTTTTGATTGCCCCTTCCTCTAAACCTCCAGCCGGTGCTCGGCCACTCTTGTGTACTTAGCCACAGGACTCCTTCCCTGCTCCTTCCCGGTGCTCTTCGCGTTTTGTTCGCGTTCCTCCTGATGTAACAGCGCTGCTGCCCCTTTCATGGAACCTTGTCTCTGACTTCCGACCTCATCTCGGACCTCCACTACTGCCCTCTTCCTGTGCCCTTGTCTCTGACCTCCTACTGCCACCCCCTCTCCGCACGGGTGTGCGCCTACCGCTCCCTCTCTGCCAGGAGCGCCTGGCCTCTTCCTGCCGTCCTTTCCTTCTCACTCTCGCGCCCTCGAGCTGTGCCGCCCCCCACCGGTGCCGGCGCCGGTGGCCGAGGGCCCCCCCCATCGGCCGGGCCTGCCCTACACGCGGCCGCCCCCTTCGGGCCAGGGTCGCCCTCCGCTGGGCCCCCACGTGCACCCCCCGGCCCTCTGCCTCTCCGACATCCAGCGGGAGCTCGACCTCCTGCAGAGGCAGCTGGGAGAACGTGAGCTCCGCTAACCCCTCTCTGGGAACCGGTTCCCGCGAGCTCGTGGGTTTGGGTTGAAGGTCAAAGGCTCGGAGCTGCACCCTTCTGGTGCATGGGTTTCCCACGGACTTGTGGGTCAGGTTTGGAGTGGGCTTTGAAGGGCAAGTGTTATGGGTTAAGGCTAGGTTTATGTCCTGTGGTCTAGGTTAATCATCGAAGGCCCAAGTTAAATGGTAAACATAAGATCCACGGGCTTAAGACTGGAGCGATGAAGAAGCTCTTGTGCACGGGCTGAGAGGCTTGTTCCTCAGCGGTGTCTTGCGGAGGCCTTCATCCAGCAGTGAGCTGTCCACGGCTGATGATGATTTAAACTGTGCGTTAGGTTGCAGGTTTCGGCAGTGGTTTGGAGTTTAGTTTATTCTTTGGAGTTTCTCCAAAGGGGTTTATGCTATGCGTTTACATGATCCTGTAGACTTTTAGGATAAGGGTTTAGTAATTTTCATACTGGGTTATTTAGACCAAGATGGCTAGCGGTAAATGTTGGCATTGGGTCTCTTCGGGGTTTATTCTCAGCTGGAAGTCGGCCTTAGGGCCCTTGTTTCCTACCCTTTCATCTGCTGCCTTCCACCATCGGTTTCTCTCTCCCTGGGACTCCCTTTGTTGGCGCTCGCACGGGGAGCTCGGCGTAAAGCGCCCAGAGGCCGGCGCCGCTCACTGACGCGGTGGCCGTGTGGCGCTCGCAGGCTCGGCAGAGATGGCGCTGGCGGGGCAACACCAGCAGCAGCAGCCGCACCAGCAGCATCACGAGCAGCAGTCGCAGCTGCACCATCACCAGCAGCCGCAGCGCCAGCAGCCGCACCATCACCAGCAGCGCCAGCAGCCACACGGGGCGCCGGGCTGGCAGGGCGGCGCCGCCGAAGCATTTGCGGCGCCGGTTGCCGGCGAGACGGCACAGCCGGCGCGCGACACCGCGCTGCGGGAGCAGACGCTGCACGAGCGTCTGCGCGGAGCCGAAGAGCTCAATGCCACGCTCAGGGCCGAGCTGGAGCTGCACCACAGCCTGCTGGGCAGCCCCGGGCAGGGGCAGCTCCAGGGGGGGCGGTCAGCACAAGGCCAGGGGCAAGGCTGGGCCCGGGAGGCGCCATCGCCCCGGAACATGGAGCGGCCGACGGCGCCCTCGCCCGTGTTCCCCAGCAGGAACACCGCAGGTAGTGGCGTAGCCGGTGTGCCGTGCGCACCCCTCCACTGTTTGCGCAAGGAGTTTACATCTCTTTGTGGGGGTTTTTTACCGTTATTTAATTCCAGGTGCGCTTTTGGCATCGTTCGAGAATGTTCCGTGAAAGGAGCTGTCACAGAACTGCTTCTGAGATCCCCTCGAGTGGCCACTTTCATCCAGAGCTGCGTGTTCGTCAAATTAAGAACAAAAACTAATTTAAGTGGTGACTGGGCTCAGACCATCAAGTCACTGCAGATCCGAACCCAGGTCCTCACCTGTACTGAGCCAGCCAATCATCTGCAGATGTCACATGGAACATTTGACTATGATCTGCAATCCAGAGTCAGGGCAGCTTAATGGAGGTGAGGGCAGCGTGGCGCAGGTGATAGCGGTGTGGCACAGGTGAGGGCAGTGAAGTGGAGGCGAGGGCAGCGTGGTGGAGGTGAGGCGAGCTTAGTGGAGGCGATGGCCGTGTGGTACGGGCGAAGGCAGCGTGGCGGAGGTGCGAGAAGTTGGGCGAGGGTCACCGTACGTGTGTGTCGTGTGGCAGAGCTGCTGGAGGAGCACCTGCGGGAGATCCGTGCTCTGCGACACCGTCTGGAGGAGTCGATTCTCACCAACGAGCAGCTCCGGCGCCAGCTGGAGCAGCGGCTCGCCGACTCGGAGCACGGTGCGGAGCGCACGTGGGACATGCTTGACGCATGCGCGGTCGGCACATACGTGACGAGCACGCGACGCGCGCCCATGCACTATTAACCCATTTGCGCGCATCCCTGTGTGCGCAGGCAACTCCACCAACATCTACATTCAACGCTCGGAGGAGAACCGCTGGCACCGCGAGCGTAGCGGACCCCACGGTGAGTGCAAAGATAAAGACAAAGATCCCCCGTGTAGCCTTTTAACAGGACATTGGGCCAAGTGCTGTTCGCGAGCACCTACAGTGAGGGAAAAAGTATTTGATCCCCTGCTGATTTGTACGTTTGCCCTCTGACAAAGAAATGATCAGTCTGTAATTTTAATGGTAGGTTTATTTGAACAGTGAGAGACAGAATAACAACAAAAAAATCCAGAAAAACGCATGTCAAAAATGTTATAAATTGATTTGCATTTTAATGAGGGAAATAAGTATTTGACCCCCTCTCAATCAGAAAGATGTCTGGCTCCCAGGTGTCTTTTATACAGATAACAAGCTGAGATTAAGAGCACACTCTTAAAGGGAGTGCTCCTAATCTCAGCTTGTTACCTGTATAAAAGACACCTGTCCACAGAAGCAATCAATCAGATTCCAAACTCTCCACCATGGCCAAGACCAAAGAGCTCTCCAAGGATGTTAGGCACAAGATTGTAGACCTACACAAGGCTGGAATGGGCTACAAGACCATTGCCAAGCAGCTTGGTGAGAAGGTAACAACAGTTGGTGCGATTATTCGCAAATGGAAGAAACAGAAAAGAACTGTCAGTCTCCCTCGGCCTGGGGCTCCATGCAAGATCTCACCTCGTGGAGTTGCAATGATCATGAGAACGGTGAGAAATCAGCCCAGAACTACACAGGAGGATCTTGTCAATGATCTCAAGGCAGCTGGGACCATAGTCACCAAGAAAACAAATGGTAACACATTACGCCGTGAAGGACTGAAATCCTGCAGCGCCCGCAAGGTCCCCCTGCTCAAGAAAGCACATATGCATGCCCGTCTGAAGTTTTGCCAATGAACATCTGAATGATTCAGAGGACAACTGGGTGAAAGTGTTGTAGTCAGATGAGACCAAAATGTAGCTCTTTGGCATCAACTCAACTTGCCGTGTTTGGAGGAGGAGGAATGCTGCCTATGACCCCAAGAACACCATCCCCACTGTCAAACATGGAGGTGGAAACATCATGCTTTGTGGGTGTTTTTCTGCTAAGGGGACAGGACAACTTCACCGCATCAAAGGGACGATGGACGGAGCCATGTATCGTCAAATCTTGAGTGAAAACCTCCTTCCCTCAGCCAGGGCATTGAAAATGGGTCGTGGATGGGTATTCCAGCAAAACACACGGTCAAGGCAACAAAGGAGCGGCTCAGGAAGAAGCACATTAAGGTCCTGGAGTGGCCTAGTCAGTCTCCAGACCTTCATCCCATAGAAAATCTGTGGAGGGAGCTGACGGTTCGAGTTGCCAAATGTCAGCCTCGAAACCTTAATGACTTGGAGAAGATCTGCAAAGAGGAGTGGGACAAAATCCCTCCTGAGATGTGTGCAAACCTGGTGGCCAACTACAAGAAACGTCTGACCTCTGATTGCCAACAAGGGTTTTGCCACCAAGTACTAAGTCATGTTTTGCAGAGGGGTCAAATACTTATTTCCCTCATTAAAATACAAATCAATTTATAAAATTTTTGACATACCTTTTTCTGGATTTTGTTGTTATTATTCTATATCTCACTGTTCAAATAAACCTACCATTAAAATTATAGACTGATCATTTCTTTGTCAGTGGGCAAACGTACAAAATCAGCAGGGGATCAAATACTTTTTTCCCTCACTGTATGAAGGCCGGAACGGCACAGGAGAGGGTTGGGTGGCCAGTGCATAGACACACGTACACAGACATCGTGTGCAGTGATGCGCAAACACTCACGTGTCCACATACGTGCACGCACACGTGTACGTGTAGACGCGCAGGCGTGAACATGCACACATGCGTGTTTGTACCCACATACCTACACGTGCATGCACGCATTACGAGGAGCTGGCTGTCAACCACCCCGCCACGTCTGCCGTTACCTTCAGTGAGTGGTCACTGTCACCTGATCATCTAGAACAGGTGCGCGGCCCCGCCGGTACGTCGCGTTGGGTTTAGGCCGCTCGCGAAGATGCGCACGGTTAAGTGTGCGTACGCGGCTGTCGTCGACAGACGCCGGCTCGGAGGAGGAGGCGGTACTCAAGGAGGCGCTGCTGCGCAAGACAGAGGAGCTGGAGCAGCTCGGCGCCGAGCTGGACGCGTCGCGCTCGCAGCTGGCACAGCGCCAGTCCGAGCTGGACACGGCGCGGGCGGCCGGCGAGCGGCTGCGGTGCGAGCTGGAGGAGTCGCGGGCGCGGGCGGGAGAGGAGACCCGGCGGGCGAGCGCCGAACTGGAACGGGCCGACCGGGAGCGGGCAGGAGCCAGGGCCGAGCTGGAGCGCGTGCTGGCGCAGGCGAGGGAGGCGGCGTCCGAGCTGGAGGTGGCGCGGGGGAGGCTGCGGGGTGCCGAGCGGGCGGAGGAGGATCTGCGCGCCGAGCTGGCGGCGGAGCGGGGCGAGCGCCAGAGGGCGGAGGCAGAGAAGGGAGAGAGGGACGTGCGGGAGAGGGCGGCGCTCGCCGGCAATCACGGCGACGACAGCAAGGAGCTGTCGTGCCAGCTGCAGGCCGCCCACGACGACATCAACAGGTGCGACGGCGCCAAGAGGGCCGCGGGGCGCTTGCCTCCGCACGCGCCGTGGTGCCGTGCTCACCCGTCGCTTTGTTTCTCTTTGCGGCATTGGTGCCCGTGGTGAGTTGTGTGGTGGTGGTGGTGTTGTGGTGTCGCATGGTGCCCATGGTGAGTTGTGTGGTTGTGGTGTCGCAGGCTGCAGGGTGAGGTGGGCTGGCTCAAGCAGCAGCTGGGAGAGGCACAGCAGGTGGTGACGTCGCTGAAGGTGGAGATGAAGGTGCAGGAGCGTCTCAGCGGCACTCCTGCCGCCCGCCATACAGGTTCCTCCACTTCCCTGGCCTCTCACCTTTGCAATAGGCGACTGTTCAATACAGCATCGGTTTAAGTAAGCCCCCGACTGCTGATGAGATGCTGGATGTCGAAACCGGTCCGGAGTTTACTTGTGTTGGACCAGTGTTGTTGACATGCACTTTCAGAAGGCCGTGTGTGGATGATCAGATGCGTAAAGATAAAATCACTTGTTTATCAAACAGCTATGTGAAGGAGGCATCTAGTCTGTTTTTTTTCTTTTGCAATTGAACACAAATCCAATTCCGCTCACCCATTGCTCCGTATAATTTGTGCCTCTCGCAGACAAGAAGGCGGCGCTGAGTCGCCGGCGCTCCACGGACGCTCTTGGGCACGACGCCGGGGCGCGACCCCCAACCCCCGACGCCGTGACGTTGGCGGAGCTGCTGGCGGAGATGCGGGCGCTGCGGAGAGAGCTGGAGCGCGGGATCCAGGCGAACCAGGCCCTGCGGCTGCAGCTGCAAGCGCAGCTGTGGCATGGGGAGCGGGCGGCGCCGCCGCCGCCCCCCACCATGGCCCCCTCCCCCGCCGCGCCGGTTTCCACCATCAACATCAGCTACATGTGGCCGAGGGATCCCTCCTCCCCTGCTAGCGCCGCCGGTAAGTTTACCCCCAGCCGCCAGCACTGCTGTCGCCCGAGGCCTGCCGCCTTGCGCTCCCTGAGATGGCACTTCCCAAAATCTCCCCATCGCCTCGCTTGAGTGCCCGTCCTGTGTTGTTCACCTCCCATCACCTTTCACCACCTCTCATCCCCTGCCATCCCTTACCATTGCTCACCGATTACCTCTCAAACGGATCACATTGCTCAAATTAACATCGCTGCCTCTCTAATCCCATCACCTCACTTCACCTTTTCTCAGGTACATTCACCTCCAGTCACCGGTCACAAACCATCGCCTCCCATCACTGTCGTCTCTAACCATCTCCCTTCACCCACTCGGTTCCACTGCCTCCCGTCACCTCCTGCCATCTCCCATCGCCTCCCACAAACATCTCCGCCTCTGTTCTTCCTCCACGTGCCCCGTGACTTACGTATGCGCGCCGCTCGCTGACGACGCCGCAGGAGAAGACGGAGGCGGAGGAGGGAGCGTGCGGGCGACCCGCGGTGGAGCGGAGGCTGCCGACGGGACCCCGGAACCCCAGGCGTTCCCCACGCCGCCCAGCTCCTCCTCGTCCCTGCGAGGACTCGACCTCTCCGAGTCGACACTCAGCAGCATCGAGGGTCAGCCCCCCCCACTGTTCGCCACCCACCCCCCGCCACTCCCTCCCCGTTCACGCCGCCCCGCCCCCCCACACCTCGTGCCCACTACCGCAGAGCCGCCACCTGCGGCACAAGAGGACGGCCGTGTCCCGAGAGTGAGATGGTATCCCCCTCCGCAATGACCCTTGCCTCACCTCTGTACGATTGGGATGGGAGGTTCACTTCTTATCCCTGCCTATTGTAATTGGTTGAGCTTCTCAGCAATGTGAGGGCCGTAAACCGAATTGTCTGAATTAATCAGGACACATTGTTTTTCTGTTTGCGGAAACTACTTGACACGAGCTTTCAAATGACTCCTCACTCATTGAAGTTGGTGAAGGGTCTCACAGGAGTTGTCTAAACAGACACAGCTTGGTCTCTTCGTGCAGCCACGAGATGTCTAACGACTCTTCGATTCGTGGATTTTAACTGATCGGTACACTCCGTAACGCTTGCCATTCGGCTCGTTCAAACGTGCCTTGTCTGTTCGTATAGAAGTAGAGGAGCTCTGGTGGAGCCTCTTCTGCCAGCAGGGCTGCGAGTGAGCAGTTGCAGGACTGCCTCTGCGTGCTGTACGTTAAACGGCGCCCGGTTGTCCCGCTGCGCCTGCGTGTTTGCGACAGGCGTCCGCAGCGGCAGCGGCGTGCCGCGCCTCAAGGGCGGAAAGTCCTCCACCCCGCACCCGGAGGGGAGCAAGGCATTCTGGGATGCGGCTGGCGGTCACGTGATCGCGCTGGCGGGAGATTACGACGCGCTGCGGCAGCGCGTGGCCGAGGGGCGGCTCCTGATCCGCGGCATGGACTCGCGCATCCGCGACTGCCTCAACACGCTGGCGCAGCGCGTCACCGGGCGCAAGGTGTGGCCGCTCAGCACCACCACGCGGTTCCGGGTTTCGTCGCAAACTTGGCACTCGCAGCTTGCCGCTCACCGCTCGTCTCGCCGCTTACCGCGCCGCCCTCTCTCGTTCTCTGCGTGGCAGACATCGGACGTGGCGACGGTGCGGGAGCTGCGTGGGAACGTGAGCGCCATGCAGCAGCTGCTGGAGGAGGCGGCCGCCCTGCTGCAGCTCTTCTGGCGCGCGGCACTGCCACCCACGGCACCGACGGGGGCGCCGGCGACAAGCACGCAGGTGCTTCGCGCGCCCCACTGTGTGCGCACACCGCGTGCACGCTGCTGGATGAAGGCCTCCTCGAGCCATCGCCATGTCACGGTTCTGCGGTGTAACGAACCATCGAGCACCTGCGGTGTGTGTCGCGGCCTGGCGTTAACGCTCCCTTGGTGTGCGCGGCTTCCTCCCCCGCGCCGTGCAGGCTGGCGTGCTGAGCGACGAGGTGACGCGGCTGCGGCGCAAATTGACGGAGCAAGAGTCGCTGCTGCAGAACACCGTGAGCCGCCTTCGCACCTCCAACCAGCGCAAGGACAGCGTGGAGCGGGCAATCATCAAGCAGCGTACGTTGCGTTCCACAAACGCGTGCCACTGCGGGGAGTATTGAGGATGCTTGTGTGTTTGTGTGGGTGTCAGCGGGTGTACCTGGGGGTGCGCGTCTGTGTGTGTGAGTGGAGAGCGGTAGTTTAGGGCCCTGCGCTGTAAACCTGGCGACCCGAGTTCCATTCCCACTTACTGCCAACACCGGTAACGATTATCTTAACCGGATCAGGGACCCCTCTCGTTTAACTCGGCCTCAAGTGAGTCCCTGGTGCGGTGTGTAAACATCAATACTGGGGAGGCAAAGGCGGCCGGGCATTACGAGCCACCCCCAGCGTGGCTGCCGGCGGTGCTGTCCTGGAGGCTGCGCGCGGTTCTCACGTTTGCCCTCTGTGCCCGACAGTGACCAGGACGCACGAGGTGCTCAAGAAGGCTCGCGGCAACTTGGAGGTGAGGTCACTGTTGGGCACCAACTGCTGCTGCTGCTGCTCCGCCCAGGGGAGAGGTGGCGCCGTTTGTTCCCTTGGGGCCACGCAGCCTGCATGCGCACGCAGGGCGACAGGCTCACGGCAGTGCCTGCAGCAGAGGTTCTCGTCTCGTGCGGCGAGGCAGCTGCTGCTCCGACTGGTGGCACGAGCGCAGCCTCTCCTCTCGCAGCTCCTGCGTGCACCCTCACTCACCGTCTCGCCCACGTCGCTCGGTCCCTTCCGCTCGTCGTGCCCGTCCCCTGCGCATCGCAATCGGGGCTGAGCTTCGATGACGACCACGCCATCGTTGATTTGCGCCCCCTACTATACATCCCGTGCACCTCACCTGTCCGTGCTACGTGGTATTCTTGCGCTGTTCACCTTTGGCTGGGCACCACCTGTGTTCCACGCAGCAACCTACCTGTCACACCTGTTACCTGTGAGCTGTGTGCTCCACTCAACGACTTACCTGTCACTTGTGAACTGCACGTTTCCCTCAACGACTTACCTGTCTCGCCTGCAAGCTGCCCTTCACACCTGTGTCCTTGTCTTTTCTCCTTTTCGTCCGCCGCTTCTTGTTCTCTTCGTGGCACGCAAGCCCACGCAGGTGAACCCCTACCTGGCCTTGGGCCTCGGATTCGCTCCTCTGATGAGCTCAGGTCAGTACCGCCGCCCTGCCTTTGCGTGCGCCTCCATTCGCTCTCCGGATCCTCTACGATCTCCCGTTGCAACTCCTGAATCCTCACCCTTGTGTTACCCGGCTCTTTCCTTACCCACGAGTTCACGATGAATTTCGGTTGATGTGGAACGGCTAAAACGACGATGTCACGTGATCGGGCGCCTCTCATCGATGCGATGAGAGGTGCAGAGTTTAACTTTCCACATAGCACCGCAGCGCCACCGCTCAAAGCTGCTCACCACATAGCACCACCACTCAACACAGAGCACCACCACTCCAGACGCAGCACCGTGCAGCACCACCCTTCACCACTCAGCACTCCCCGCCACGCTGCACTGCTGCTGTTGAGATGTAGCGGCCTTTACACGCTGCGTCAACACTAATGGCTCGTGCCGTTGCTGCTCACCAAGGAATGCGTTGAGGACACGCCAGTGTGAATGACCGGCGCGTGGACACGTTACAGCTGGATAGGGTCACGCCGTGCGTGCCTTGGCGCTACGTGGTGATGGTTGTCTCCCGGTGGGTGATTCTGGAAGTGGTGGTGTTGCGTGGTGGAAGTGGAGGCGACACAAGGTGATGGAGGTTGACTCGTGCGTTGCTGTGCGCATTGTGCCAGCAGCAGCACGCGCAGGCAGCCTGTCCCCCGGCTCGCTGAGCTCCGGACTCTCCAGGACGTGGGACCCCCCTCTGCAGTTCCGCAGGGAACTCGGCCCCCAGCAGCCCGGAGCTGGCGCACTCGCCCTGCCACTACTGAGCCCCGTGTCCGGCACCCAGTGACACCCTACCACCCACCACAATACCGCTCGCCACCCAGCATGCAGCACTCGCTCGTCTACCACTCGACCACCCAGCACCAGCGGCCCGAGCGTCGCTCACCCGCCCTGCCGCTACCAAACACCGCATCCAGCGTCCAGCCCTCTGCCGCTCACTGCCCAAGCACCCAGCATCACTGCACTCTGCGGCTCACCACACGTAGCCCAGCACCACCACCACCGCTACACCGCTCAACCCACGCCACCACCACTACACCACTACATGGCTGATCGCTCGCGGTATTCGCGGTCCCACGCCGTTTCCTTTTGCCAAGCCCTCGGACACCATCGCGACGTCGAACCGTTCCCGTGGCAGAGTTCGCGGCAGGTGGTGGCGGGTTTGTAGCAGGTCATTAGAAGGTCGTGGCAGGTCAGAAGGTTGTGACAGATTACGGGAACTCGTAGCAGGTTGTAGGCAGGGCTTCATTTCAGCTGGGTCTGTCTGGGTCTGCTAGCCAGAAAATATTTCTGTGCCCGGCACACCACCTCTAGGATTCCTTTTCTCGCTTATGGCTGTGGCTACTGGGCAAGCGCCACCTACTAATCCAGCCTACCAGTAGCAGCAGCAGCCTTGAAAATATTGTGTGATAAATTAAGTCCCGGTTGTATGCGTTTGTAGCAATTCATACTCATGGCAGGTTGTGGAATGTTGTAGGTATCTGGCAGCTCACAGGTACACGTGGCAGCTCACAGGTACACGTGGAAGGTCACAGGTACACGTGGAAGGTCACAGGTACACGTGGCAGGTCACAGGTACACGTGGCAGGTCACAGACGGTGGCAGGACGGTGAGACGGTGCCCTTGGCAGCTTCTCCGTCATTGGTAGAGAGGGAAGTGAGATGGTCCAGGGTTGTGTTGGGGGGCTCCCAACAGGGCCGGGTTGTGGGAGGCAGGGGGTAGGCCCAGCATGGCTGGCTATCCCCCATTGGTCCAGTGTGGCCAACTCAGACACCAGAACCCAAATTATAATAAATTCCAACACCTCGATTATCATTTTTAAGACTTGGTTGCCGATCAGAGGCCCCAAGGCCCAAAACGTCAAACAGCCAGTAACAAACAGCACAAGTGAGTTGTAATAGATAAGAGTGAACAAGTTCCTCGAATTGAGCAAGTTTATTATTATTATCAGAGCTTGGTGGAAAATGACAATGGGAGGAGGGAAGGCCTGAGCCTTAAGAATCATGTTCCGTAGCGTCCTGGCTGTAGAGGCAGGTTTGTAAAACAAACAATTGAGACGGATGTGATGTCGTGTGGCCGCTGACCACTGGTAACTGATCTTCCTCTTTGGCCCTCGGCACAGAAGAGGTTTCTCACCCCTGGCTCTCCTGACGAGGTGCGTTGTAGCATACTTTGTGTCGCGCCGTCACAAGGTACGGAGAGGGAGGAGGTCAGCCTCTGGGTCAGGGTTCAGGTTGGGGTGACCCGCCCACGTGGATCAGCGGTAGAGCGAGCGCCTCGGACTCAATTGGAAGGGCACGAGTTCAAATCCTAGTTGGGGAGCGGGGGTGTTGACACGGTTCATCATCCCTCTCTGGGGTCGATAAAAGAAGTACCGCATTGTGTGGAAGCTCAACAGTGATTGTCCTATGAGTAGACTCGCCCCCACCAAAGGAATGTGGAGTTTTCCCCGCTGGCAAGAGCAGTCTGTAGACGGGAGATGAGCCTGGGGTCTGAGTGGGGGCCGCCATCTGTCGCGACGGCCAGACGGGCGACGCGTCCAGCGCGGCCGTGATCCTCGCCATGGGCCGCGGGAAGGGAGGAGACATTGTGATCCGTGTTGACGATGTTAATGATTTATGCCAGAGGCTGCTGCGCGATAATGTTTGGTCGGTTCCTGGCAGACGATCGCGCTGAGACGGTGAGAATGAATGGAATGGGTACGAGCGGGAGGGGTATCCGAGGTCTTGGCACAACGCAGCTACAGCGCTGACCCTACGTCAGGCATCTCCACTCGCTAACCACGCCAGCCAGCCAGACCCATAGTACTGGCCATAACACTAACCAGTACTGACTACTCGCTAACCACGCCAGCCATATCCCAGTACAGGCCCTAACAAACTGGGACCGACTACTCGCTAACCACGCCAGCCAGACCCCAGTACTGGCCGTAACCCTAACCAGAAACTAACTAGATACTAACCACACTGGCCAGCCAGATGCTAATACTAGCTCTAACCCTAAGTCTAAATGTATCCCTAACCTAGTCACACTAGCCAGCTACACTCCAGTACTGGCCCTAACTCTAACCAGACTGACCATAGTAACTAACTAGATTGTAATTCTGACTTTACCTAGTAACCACACCAGCCAGCCAGGTCATAACCAAACCAACCAACACTTTAAATCCCTTACAGTCTGAAGCCTTCAGTCTCATCTCTCCATTATCGCATCACGACTGCAATGACGTTTAAAGTGCCCTTCCATGAAAGCGCGACACCGAGCTCGTTATTGAGATTTCTAGAACCTCTGTGGAACGGGACAAGGTAACACACGCGCTGAGCGCGTCCGGGTTTGGTCGTGCCTTGAGGGTGATGTTGATGCTGGGACGTTCAGCAGTGACAGAGTTCGTATGTTGGGATGTCTCGCAGTGTGTTGGGCCGTTCGGCAGTGAAGGGGTTAACCCTTCAGCTGCCGCCACCGTAAGTGCCGCGAGCTTTGCCGTTCATCTGCCTTTAAGTCCGCGAGTTCCGCCTTACCTGCGCCCCCTGGAGGTCCCTCCTGGAGGAGGAGCCCACCTCGCCACCCGCCTCCCCGCAGGTGATCGACAAGAGGCAGCAGGTGCCCGAGTGTTACCTGTGCACAGGCGTACACACTCGCACACGGGTTCAGTATGAATACTGATATGATGGTTACCTCTGCACGGGCACTTGAATGGGCTGTACAGATGTTGGGCGGCACTCTCGCCCTATGTGCGCTATGTGTATGTATATAGAACGATTCGTCGTCGAGACTGAGCGGTTGGCACGTATGTACATATGGGAATTGCCAGTGGGATTGGTCGGGCTGCCGAGCACGTGGCCGCGTCATTGAGCAGTCACTGCTGAAGTTCGCACCCCTTGTGAGCGGTGGTCCGTGCGGTGGGGGGTGGCTAGGGGTAAGCTGCGTGTCGCTGTGAAGTAACGCCGGCGCGAACGCTGACCCTCGCCACGTTCTAGGCATGACCCCTTGCTGTCACCACACTCTAGCCAGCCAGAACCTAGCCTCTATCCATAACCACAGTCGCCCGGCCAGACACCGAGCGAAAACCAAGGGATTCATTTCTCACTGGAAAATTTTGCGGAACGCTGTTTGGCTCGCTTGTTGTTGGTAGCATGCGGCACGACCACTAAGAGTACAATGTACGCTTATACATTGTAATAATACAGGATTTCGGCATATATTGTGATCCTATGCTCAGAATAAGTAAGATGAGATGGATATGGCTACCAAAAAATCCCCCCCGAAGGGACCCCCGCGTGTAGCTTAATCTCAAAAACCCGAGGTGCGTGACACGGACCTCCCCCATCCCAATCGGAGCCGTCTTCAAGCAGCCTCGATCATGCCCGCAGACCTAAAATTGTATTGACGTATACTGTATAAAGTTACAGTATTATATACTGTACGTATCAGGTTTGACACGGCGTGGCGAGACGACGCCCCCCCGATCCGGAGGCTGGGTCTCGCGTGCGGTCAGCCCCGAGTTGGGGCCACGGGAAACAGCCCCGGGTCCCCGATCGCATGCGCTTTGCCCAGTTGCCCCACGAGTCCCCTCGCCCCCCCCCCCCCCTCCAGTGTTAATAAAACGAGGAGCGCTCCCAACTCGTACAGTGTCGCCCTGAGTTCTCTGTGAGGTGCTTGCCCCCACACATGCGAGCCGTGGTCTATCCACTGCTGGATGAAAGGCATCATCATGAGCTCTGGTCTCGCTACTGCTGGATGAAGTATCCATCATTAACATTGGCTACGGTAAAAAAATTAAATCACGACGTTTCGGGCGCAACACAAGCGTCCTTCAGGTGGGCACAACTTAGCGAAAGCACACCGCTTAAGTGTGTCTCAGAGGTGGCTGTGACGAGTGATTATATAGTCGCGGGGGGAGGGGGCATGGTGAGTGTGGGGGTGTGGGCTGGGAGGTAGCGTTGTGTACACCGAGCAACGATTGGAGTTAAAACTGAGGCTTTGTAATGTAGATGGTGGAAGTAGATAAGCCGCCTTTTGTTATGCTGCCGGGTAAATTAGTAACGCATAGAGTTCAAACTGAAATGTGCAGGCTAAAAAACGTGTGGTAATGTGGGGTAACAGACTGGGAGTATGGGATATGTTTATAAAATTAAATCTAAACTCGCTGTCTAGCAGTAAACTGCACGGCAGCTAAAGTTAAACTTGGTTAATTACATCATTCCACTAATTGCTCAATTTGGATCCATCATCTCGGTTGAAGTGATGTCTATGTTTGTATATCTAGATGGCTTCATGGATGCACAAGCTAAGCTAAAGAAGACCAAAAAGACATGAAGCCATCTAGATATAGATGAGAGGATGGATTCAAATTGAGCAATTAGTGGAATGATGTAATTAACCAAGTTTAACTTTAGCTGAGACACACTTAAGCGGTGTGCTTTCGCTACGTTGTCCCCACCTGAAGAAGGACGCTTGTGTTGCTCCCGAAACGTCGTGATTTATTTTTTTACCTACGTGACTTTACTGAAAAAACCAAAGAGTGAATCCTTGCAGTCACGAAAACTTCAAATCTCGAATTGGCTACGGTCTATCCATTGATGGCGAAATTGCCGCCTCGTGAGCCATGGTCTCCACTACTCGACGAAAGCCGATCCTCCATTCGTCTTGGTCTATCCTCTGCTGGAGGAAGGCTTTTGCAAGCCGCTGACATACTTCAACATGCCACGGCATCGGTTTTAATGACGATCCTGTCGATACTGGCCGTGTGGAATCGGTTGCGGATTCAGATGAGAGTTATTCGACCGCTGAAATGCAATCCAGACGGATCGAGTGACCCCAGCAACCTCTGAGCCCAGCTGTGCTGGTCACGTGGTGGGGAGAGAGCTGCACGAGGCCCGGGTAGCCGCGTCTTTCGCAAAGTCGCACACCCCGAGCCTACTTTGTGATGCTTGAAATCAGACACAAGCACCACCTCTTTAAATAAGAACGTTTTCGTCAGCCTATTGGCGTTCCAGCCCCAATATCCGAATTACGTGGTGACACTGCGTTTGACAGTGGTGCACAACCACAAATAAAATAAAAACTCAACACATTCGTCAATAACACTGGCCTTAAAATCAAGCGTATACAATAGGCGACGTTTCAGGCAATGGCTCTTCGTTTTCGAGCTTCCACCGCCCTGTGCCTCCAATATTTGACGATACCAAAGACGAAGATCCCCCGCGTAGCCTTAACAGGCTGTTGGGGCAAGTGTTGTGAGCGGGCACCTTTGAACGACATTTTAATTATGTTACTGCTATAGATTTCCACATAAGCCACTGTTGAGCTATCATTTGTGGCCAGGTCGCCTATGAAAATAACCTAATACTGTAGCAGTAGGCCTGCCCTGGTAAGATAAACAAAATATATGTTTAGTTTTATTTGTATATTTTTTTAAACTGATTTTTTTTACCATTCCTATCCTTTATGACCCGCCCCGACTCGACATCTGTGAAAAAGAGCGTTATACTTCATCGGATTCATCCAGCATAAATAAATATTCGTATTCTGAATGGTCAGAAGCGTTCCCATTGTCAATTACCATAATTGGGCGATACCATTCGCGCGCCTTTCCCCCCTCCCCGACCGCTTACGCCCATATATGGCCATGCCACGACCACGCCTCGCTTCGCCCACTACAGGGCAATACCATGAGCGCCCAGCCCCCCTCCCCCGCGCTAACCCACATTTGGTATCACCCGGTGACCCGGACGCGACTACGCGCACCGTGACCCCGCCTCTCTCTCTCTCCCAACCGGAGCCGCCATGGTGAGTTGGGTTTGCGCGGCCGCAAGAATCCGCGAGCATCGGCGACCATCGTGGCCAGCGGGTCCCGCGGGGTGTCCGGGGATATGGAACAGAGGACCCTCGATGTGGGGCGCCGGGTTTTGCGGGCGGATGAGGCTCCGTCTTGTGGTTATTTGTTGGGCGAGGATGCGGCCTTAGAGTGGAGGCCGCGTCCGTAAACTCTCGTGCGTTTGACTAGGAGGTGACGATGGGAAAGCGGTGAGGAGGTGGTGAAGAAGGAAACGATGTCGGGGTTAATTTCGAGAGACGGTAAATGGAGATTAGATATGACGAGGGAGAGTTGTGTTGCTGAGGAGGGCAGGTGGTGGGGTTGTGGAGCTTGGCGTGGGCCACGGCCTCACGAGTTAGGCTCTCCTGTCGTGTGCTCTTGGTGTGCTGCGCGCGTTGTGCTGCGTGCGGGCGTTGTGCTGCTGGTTGCGGGGCCCCGTGGGGTGTTGCTGCCTCGCGTGCCGCTCACGCGCTGCGCGATCCCCGCCGCGAGCGATGTAAAGTTGCCTACTGGGAGGCGGCTTCGCGATTTCAGATTAACATTTCACATTGATGTGTAAACATTTAATATTTTAGTCGATTGGCTCTTGTCGAGTGGTGGAGGAATATCATTGATACATTGGCATTGTGTACCGACACGATATAACGCAAAATGAATTGTTAATCAACATTTCACACTTTAAAAAGAAGCGGGTTATTAATATACTGTAATTAAGTCGATGCTTTTTATTCGACCTCTTATCAGCAACCACTTAGGACTGCGGTCGACAAAGTGTGAACGGTTCTCGTTGCGGGAGTGCTGCTCATTAAACAGTGGGTCGAACCCGACGACACGCGTCCACGCGGGGATGGTGACGGTGGTGCTTTCATATTCGTCGTGTACCTATCGAACCAGTGACTTATTCAATAGATAAGCCACGCTTTACGTAATTGTATCCCACGTGTAATAGGAATTGTATTTAATGTGAACTGCGCTGTTCTGGCGAATTGCCCGATGCTGGATGTATTTACCAGCGAAACGTCGTACTCAAACTGTAAATGTGGATTCACTCTTCAACACACCGGTGGGCAAAAGTAGTGAATTATTTGTCTTTTGTCAACGTGACACTTTTTTTGCTGATTGGCCGTGTCGGGTGGTGGAGGGTTACGACACATTTATAAATAAACGCGATCTAACCCAAAAACCTTTATTATGAATAATATTGGTCGCGAAAGCCTACGTGTTAAACTGAACTGCGCTGTTTGAGATATATCCGCTGTTAAGAGTTACCTGTGCTGGTGCGCGCCGTTGGTGTGATGTGTGTTGGTGTGTGTTGCTGGTTTGTCGCGTGTAACACTGGACACATGGCGAGTGTTTATGTGTGCCAGTGCGCGTTGATGACACGCGCCGTGTGTGCTGCAGGGTAAGATTAAAGCTCACGAGCTGCGCGGCAAGAAGAAGGAGGAGCTGTTGAAGCAGCTGGAGGAGCTCAAGGAGGAGCTGTCCCAGCTGCGTGTCGCCAAGGTGACGGGCGGCGCGGCCAACAAACTCTCTAAGATGTGAGACCCTCACGACCGCACTGCACGACCACACATCGCTCTGCTGCCATGACCACGCACTACACAGCTACCATGACCATACAGCTACCATGACCACGCACTGCACAGCTACCATGACCACGCACTACACAGCTACCATGACCACACACTACACAGCTACCATGACCACACACTACACAGCTACCATGACCACGCAGCACACAGCTACCATGACCACGCACTACACAGCTACCATGACCACACACAACACAGCTACCATGACCACGCACTACACAGCTACCATGACCATACAGCTACCATGACCACGCACCACACAGCTACCATGACCACGCAGCACACAGCTACCATGACCACGCACTACACAGCTACCATGACCACGCAGCACACAGCTACCATGACCACGCACGACACAGCTACCATGACCACGCACCACACAGCTACCATGACCACGCAGCACACAGCTACCATGACCACGCACTACACAGCTACCATGACCACGCAGCACACAGCTACCATGACCACGCACGACACAGCTACCATGACCACGCACCACACAGCTACCATGACCACGCACCACACAGCTACCATGACCACGCACCACACAGCTACCATGACCACGCAGCACACAGCTACCATGACCACACAGCTACCATGACCACACACCACACAGCTACCATGACCACGCAGCACACAGCTACCATGACCACACAGCTACCATGACCACACAGCTACCATGACCACACAGCACACAGCTACCATGACCACACACCGCACAGCTACCATGACCACGCAGCACACAGCTACCATGACCACGCAGCACACAGCTACCATGACCACGCAGCACACAGCTACCATGACCACACAGCTACCATGACCACACAGCTACCATGACCACACAGCACACAGCTACCATGATCACGCACTACACAGCTACCATGACCACACGGCTACCATGACCACGCACCACACAGCTACCATGACCACGCAGCACACAGCTACCATGACCACACAGCTACCATGACCACACACCACACAGCTACCATGACCACGCAGCACACAGCTACCATGACCACACAGCTACCATGACCACACAGCTACCATGACCACACACCACACAGCTACCATGACCACACAGCTACCATGACCACACACCGCACAGCTACCATGACCACGCACCACACAGCTACCATGACCACACAGCACACAGCTACCATGATCACGCACTACACAGCTACCATGACCACACAGCACACAGCTACCATGAC